TACACTGCAAAATTTTGCCAGAATAGCTGTGTTATCTAGAAGTGTGAAATAATCACATCCCTTGGCCGACATAACTATGTCTGTAAAAACCCTGGTGTAGATGCAGCTATGCTGATGGAAGAATACTTCTGTATTGTTTGTGGAGGTAGTGTAACTATGCTGGCAGAACTCCTTCTGCTGGCTTACGCTGCATCTACACTGGGGGTTGTGCTGGCCTAATAATATTGGCCAAGGTTCTGTAGTGTAGAGAAGCCTTGAAAGCCAACAACAAAAAAGAGAGAAAACATATATTCAAAGTGGTCAGGATGATGACAGGCACCTGTTTGGTTTTATTTTTTCATACAGGGGCAAAGATGGACTGGGGGGAATGGCATACAGGGATGTGTTAATAGGAGCGTGAGTATGAAAATGAAGGAGGACAACGACATTAAGCAGAAAGAAAGGAAAGGAAGTGGGCAGAGTGAGGTGGCAGCAGATATTGTGAGAGAGAGAGTAGGGAGGATCTTGGGGCATCCCACTCAGCAGACTGAGTATCAGAGTTCAGTTGTAGAATATAGTCTGATATCATTGGTATCTGCTGTTCTGAACATGCTTCCTAGTGGGCAGTGTCTAGTACATGTGGGAGTTGATTCTGTCCCCAAGAGTGCAGCACTTCCTCCTCAGCCCATATGGCTGACAAAAGGTCTGTTGGAGCCTGCTGACTGCCTATGAAAATGTCCTAGGAAAACTTGTAGTTTAAGGTCTAGTGGCCCACTCTGAGTAGCTAGGAAAGCAGAGAAGCCCAGGCTTTAAACCCTCAGTTTCTCTTGGACTCCTTAGGAGGAGTAGAGCAAGAGAAGCCAGGTAGCAGACAATGCTAAGTGGTCTTGGAATACTTAGGAAGAGTCCCTGTTCCATGGGTGGATTTTTCATTGTGGTGTCAGTCACCGCTGGTACCTTCCTCAATGGTATTGCTATTTGTGTTCCTCATTCAGATGCGCCAGGGACGAGGTAGGCTGGGCGAGGAAGACTCTGACGTAGATATTGAAGGGTTTGATGAGGATGAGGATGGGAAACCTAAGACTCCAGCCCCAGTGAGTATATATACAGAAATCCCATCTGTAGTCCACTTGCATCCTCATGATAGAAGACTCCATAGTGCAGGGGAAGTCTGCTGGGTCTGGCACACTCAGTGACATCAGAATCCACAGCAATGACTAATCAGATACTTATCTTAAGTCATAAAACTGTCAATATAAAAACAAATGACTGAGTATATTGTCAATATGCCAGGTATGGCAGCAGCCTCGTATATGACCTTTGATCTATGCCATTCCCATTCTGTGTGACCTAGGAAGTTGAAGATGGGGATGGTGACCTTGCTGATGAAGAAGAAGGCTCAGCACAACAGCCCCAGGCCAGTGTTCTTTATGAAGATTTGCTTATGTCAGATGGAGAGGATGATGATGAAGGGAGTGATGAAGAAGGCGATAATCCCTTTTCATGTAAGTCCTAGCTCTTTAAATCACAGGCTTGAGCAGGAATCAATTGTTCCCAAACCCAGCCAATTTTCATGCCCTTCAATTATAGTAGCATACACTACAGCTTTTGTAGGTATACAGGACACTATATTTGTATATTGGTTACAAAGTACAGATTGTTATGGTGCAGTTACAAAGGAGATGTCAAGAGCAGAAAGAGAGAACCAGATGAATTTAGATGAAAGCTAAGATGAAGTGGAGTAGCAGTGAATGCTAAGTGTGGGCAGGAGAGAGAGTTGGGTGTTCACACATGATTCAGATAGTGGAACTCTGAAGCTTGGAAAAGGAGAGGCCTGTGGCTTAGATGTAATGCTGAGGGACATGTGGAGTGGGCTGGGCAGCTGGTGCAAGCTTAAATGATATTTGGATAGGAAAGCTGGAACATTGGATCGTGCTATGAAGGACCAGAGAAGGGGACTGTTGAAGCTGCACAGATAGGTTGGCTGATCCACATGGTGGGATGGATGAGTAAGAAGAGGTAATTATTTCGGTGCAAGAATGGCAGATAAGATACTGTGTGGAAGATAGATGGATTTTGTAAAAGGAAAAATTATTCTGGAAAATCAGCCAGTATTGTATTTTTTCAACAGACTACAAAAAGATGCAAATCAATCCACAAGGTATAAAAGCTCTGTCAAAATTAATAAGCAGGCCTCTTCTGTTTGTTGCACAGCTATCCAGCTGAGTGAAAGTGGCAGTGATTCAGATGTGGAGCCCAGTGCAATGAGACCCAAACAACCTCATGTCCTTCAAGAGAACACACGAATGGGCATGGAGAATGAAGAGAGTATGATGTCCTATGAGGGAGATGGCGGAGAGACCTCTCATGTTATGGAGGACAGTAATATCAGGTAATCAAAGTTGAGAATAATACAGAAATGTAGGGAATGGGGTAGGAATGCAGGCTGTAAGGGAATCTCTCAGCTACCCAAGTCCTGGCACTTTTGAGCAGATCTCCAGACTTTTTTCTTTTCTGTAAGAGGTTAAGTAGAAAATGTGGATGTAAACAGATAAGCTGAAAATGTCAGTGTAATGAGATTCCATTCTTTCTTTTAGTTATGGCAGCTATGAGGAGCCAGATCCAAAGTCCAACACACGAGATACCAGCTTTAGCAGCATTGGAGGGTATGAGATCTCTGAAGAGGAGGAGGAGGAGGAGGAGGAAGAACAGCGATGTGGGCCAAGTGTGTTAAGTCAGGTTCATCTTTCAGAGGATGAGGAAGATAGCGAGGATTTTCACTCCATTGCAGGAGATAGTGACCTGGACTCAGATGAATGAGTTGTCCAGACACCCTCAGTTACTGAGGGATGTAGCAATCTGTGGTCTGGATTCAGATGAATGAATTTCCCTCATACTCTTTTGTACCAAGGGACTATGCACTGTTAATTTGAAGCATCTTATTTTTCTTGTATAACTTAAATTTTAGTAGAATTCTGTTGTATATTTATTATTAAATTATCTGAATTGTGAATGACAAGATTTAGACAAAGATAACTTGCTGTGACCTGCACAGTAGTCCAGGAGCTCTAGTTACTGAAGCCAGCTACAGGTTTATAATCTGTTTTACTTCCCTTCATTCTTTTCAGATATACACTGAAAATGTCTTACAAATATTAGGCTGTTGTTTAAATACCTTACATTGACCTTTGATATGACTCAGTTAACCAGCCTATACATTTATATAAGAAATAAACAATTGAAGAAATATTCTACAAAAGTCTGAGTAAATTTAACATCTAAAGCATTTTTTAACATATAAAGCAGCTGTTTTCCCTTTATTAAAGAGAAGGGCATGGTCCTTTTTTATTTTCTGAAGTGTACCCCAAATATTCAGAAAAAAATTAGTCAGGCCCATCAGCCCATGAATGCATTCCCTGGAATTCTACCGCAACTGGTTTCTAGGTCTCTTGGGAACTGCTTAATGGCCTTGAACATCTTAATTCACAGGAAGAACGCTTTTGAAGCTCCTTGCTCAAGTTAGAGTTTGTCCTGGAATTCCATAACTGCTAACCCAAGTCTTCATCCAGGAGTTGCACGGGAATTTCTCCGGGCTTTCCTTGTGCTTTAAAATATCTGGGAGTGAATTCATTTTCCTGTCTTAATCAAATGAAGAGAAAGCATAGAACCATCTAGGAAGTGCTATAGAGCCTCCATGTCTCTCTGTTGTATAGTTCATTGGATGAATCCTTAAAATCAAAATACAGATAAATTCCTTATATGCTACTTCATTATAGGATGGTTTCTGTTCCACTGTCCCTTAGCTTTTTGTGAGAGCAGGTCTCAGTCCATTTGTGATTTCATAACCATCCTTGCCAGGTAAGCATGTTGGTGCTCTTCCATGTATGGGACAGAAGGGAGAAGAATAGATTGTGTTCAAAGTGAAATTTAAAATCTGATATGTTTAGCTACTATAAAGTGAGTACTTAACGATTGGGTTCCTTCAAAATACCTCTGTCGCACTTGGAAAAATCCCTTCTTTTGCACATAACTACAAATAGTAGTAGCTACAAATCCAACCAGAATCATAAATGTTGAATTTCCTGACTTGTGTATTTAAATTCTCAATCTTTCAGTTGATATTGACACATTTTGTTTTAATGTAAGTTACTTCGTTATTTAATTTACAGTTTGGTAGTGAATGTATTTGAAATAAATTTGTAACAGTAAGAGGGTTGTAATGCACATTTTGTGACACGCATCACAGGCTTTCAGCTGAAACTGGGGTGTGGGTGTGTGAGAGAGAGGTATTAATGAGGCTGAACATATGGGCGATGATGGTAGTCACATACTTGACGGAAAATAAGCGATCCATACTATGAGGAGGAGCTGTCAGCCCCCCCTCTCCCAAAGATTAATTTACACCAAAATCATCTCACTTTTACAACTGCGATCAGGAAAGTAGCTGCCCTGTTCCCCGTGCCCTAGAGTGCAGCGCTCTTCTCTTCCCGTCGGCCTTTCCCCTGGGCCCACGCTACGAGACGAGTCCAGCTCCCCCCGCCGCGCCCTGCAGCAGGGTCTGTCCGGGGATCGGGCGCGTGCTCCCAGCGCGGGGCACCCACCAGGCCCGGGTCCTCCCCGGACCGCTCTCTAAGCTCCGCCCCTGGGGGCGGGGCTTGGGCGCCAGTATGCACGCGCCACGGCCCTGCGTCTCTCCTTGACGCACGCACCCGGAGTTGGCCGCGGGCGCCATGTGCTGGTGAGAGAAGGTGGTAGCGCCTGACGCATGCGCGCTGAGATCTCATTTGTCGCAATGGTCTCACGCGGAAGGATAAGGATAACGAGATGACTGGAAACATTTTATAGGCTTCTATGGCTCCCTAATGAGGGAGTCCATCGAAACGAGGCGAGTTATTTCCAGAAACAGATTCATCCGCCGCAATTGGATTTGGTATCGGCTAGGATTCTATACCACCCAGACTTCCTTTGCCTATTCGGACTATTTTGTGGAAAGAAATAGGTCCGTTAGGAGCCATATACCCTGGCCGTGTAGCTTCCTCCGCCTCTGCCGCCATTTCTGGAGCCGCCGCCTTAGCGTGAAGGGGGAGCTCGGAGACGCTGTTGCTCGGTGGCTTGTTCGCGCCTGACTGGATCTCTCCGCGCCCGGGGAGCCCCAGAGCTTCAGCCCGAGGCTCGCCCGCCCAGCCGCTGCCCCGGCGTCTCTCCTGATGGCGACCTCTGTGGGGAACGTGGCTGACAGCACAGGTACCGGCCTGCGGGGCCGGGCAGGCCGCGCCTCATCTCGCTGTGGGGATGCGGGAGACCTGAGATCGCCGCCCTGCTAGGGCTGTGTGTTCGCGGGGCTGTTGGCCCCGTGTCCCCGGAGGGCCTTGGGGTGGGGCTGGAGGCCTCGTGCCGGGGCGGGGTCCTTGCGCGGGGGGAGTTGCAGGCCCCGCGACCTCGGTTCGTGGAGGGCCGTTTGCTGGTATTTCCTGTTCCGCACTCGGAGAGCGTGCCCTTCCCCCGTGGGGTAAAGGGGTCGTTCTCCCCAGTCAGCCACCGCAGCCGTCCTTTGGATTTGGATATTGATACTGTTGATAACAAATAAGAATTGAAGTTTAATTCCAGAGCTCAGTTTTCTGGGGGTTCTTTGCCATTACGGCAAATGTGGTTGTTTTAAAGAGAGCTCAACGACAAGATAAAAGCCCTGAGGTGTATGCATTGGCAGTGGGGGAAGGGTTTTCTGCTGGTGAGAAGCACAAGCTAATACGGAAGTATTCTGTATTCTATCCTGTTGATGTATGAATCATATAAAGTGTCAGCATAAAGTACTAGTTTTTGTAAAAAGAACGAGGAGTACTTGTGGCACCTTAGAGACTAACAAATGTATTTGAGCATATTGCCTTTTCTGTTTTGTGACCAAGTGGCTGAGAAGTTTATACTAAATGATTCAATTTGAAAGGTGGAATTTTCCAGAATCCTGTGTCTGAGGTTCAGTAAGTGTGCATAGAAGAATGCAGTCCCCAGATATTTCACACAGCAACTCAAGGTGTCTCGCTGATCTTGCAAACATACAAATTGGGCACACTGAATTTGTTCTTTCTGTAACAACTTGTGGTAAATAGTATAAATTGTAGGTCTTAAACTGCAATTTGTGGGGGCCACGTTATTCTAAACTTCTTTTAACTTTTATTTCTATTTTTTAAGTCACATTTTGTCTTTTTTGTTTTCATATTTCAGTTTTCATCATAGCTTGAATTTCTTGTAAAGCATCACTGAGTGTGCGTTTTTTGATGGGTTGTAGAGCCATGATTTATTTCGCACTTGCGTGAAGGCTTTATGAACTAGGGCCCAGAAATATATTTCTTGGGAAATGCCTGGACCTCTCCTGCTACCTCATTCCCTTAGTTCCAGTTATCAGAGGGGTAGCGTGTTAGTCTGAATCTGTAAAAAGCAAAAGAGGGTCCTGTGGCACCTTTAAGACTAATACTTCTGTTAGTCTTAAAGGTGCCACAGGACCTTCTGTTGCTTTTTAGTTCCAATTAAAATTTTCAGGAGTTCCTTTTCTGTACTTTCAGGAGTATGCGTTGAAGTGAACCAAATACTTTATTTCATAAATTGACAACTTAATAGGAAAATGCTTTTAAGATCTGATATTAAGATCAAATCTTTTGCAAAAAAATTAGCTTTTGGGGTCTTTTTATAGCTTTTTCATATTTGTTTTCTATGCTGGTTAGCGCTGTATCTGAGTACTTGACAAACATTAACTTATTGTCACAGCACATATTATTCTTGATCAAGGTCTCTCATAAAGTCAGGTACTCTTTAGAAAACATTTGAATTAGTGTACTTATACTAGACTATATAAATAATAGCTAAAGAGTTCTGTATGTGCCTGAGGAAGGACTCTTCTGGAATCTACTTAACTATAATTGTTACTTACAGAACTACTTTGAGTTGAAGTGGACTCTAGATCAAGGTATTAATTGCAAGGCTGTGCATTTGTTGGATAAATTGGTGTCTCTTATATATCAGTATTAAAGAGAAGAGCTCTGATTTCCTTTTGGACTCTGATCTAGCTGGCCACCCCACATCCCCCAATACTTGCAAATAGGACCAGTTCCAAAATTTAACAGAAAGGAGTGAAGTGGTTGGTTGGCACTAGTGCTCCTGAATTTAATTGGTGGGGAGAAGTGGGGATGTTGCTCATTTTTGAAAGAGTTGGCAAATGAAGGAAATCTAAGGGTGTGTTTCACCTATCTTCAGGTTAGTAAAATCCATTCTCCCAAGTTTTGGACAAAAGTAAAGCATCTCTGATCCACTTCCTTGTGTTTGTCACCCTCCAGGTCTTACCTGGAGTGCAGTTTTAAGCATGAAACTTAGATGATGTTGTTTTTGTTTTTTGGCAGACTGGGGGGGGGATAAAAATTTGTATTTTAAGTATCAAAGCAAACAAGTAAGCCAGATTACCTTTAGTTTCACAGTTGTAAATCTCATTTCAACATTTCCATCTTGATTTAAGGGCAGTAGTACATAGCAATTGATTTCCTCCTTTTAGCTTTCCTTGTCTTTGCAACTTCAGTAGCAGGGCCGGCTCCAGGCACCAGCTTCTCAAGCAGGTGCTTGGGGCGGCTGTTCCGGACAGGGGTGGCAGTTCCAGGTATTTGGCGGCAATTCGGCGGACGGTCCCTCACTCCGCCTGGGAGTGAAGGACCTCCCGCTGAATTGCCGCCGCAGATCGCGATCGCGTCTTTTTTTAGATCACGATCGCGGCGGGGGTTTTTTTTTTTTTTTTTGGTTTTGGCTGCTTGGGGCGGCCCTGTTCAGTAGTAGAAGAATGCTTAACAGCAGGGATTGGATTTTTTTTTTTTTTTTAACCAGGCACCAGCTATTTGAAGGACTAAAACTGAACCAGAGGTAGCACCAGTGGGAACTGGGTACCTGACAGTGTGGTCTAGGCCAGTGGTTTTCAAACCTTTTTTCTGGTGACCCAGTTGAAGAAAATTGTTGATGCCCGTGACCCAATGGAGCTGGGGATTAGGGGTTTGGGGGGTGGGAGGGGCTCAGAGCTGGGATATAGGGTTGGGGTGAGGGCTGGGTATGAGGGGTTCAGGGGGTGGGAGGAGGCTCTGGGCTGAGGTGGGGGGTTAGGGTGTGGGAGGGGGTCAGGGCTGGGGGGTGCAGGCTTGGGTGGGGCTGGGGATGAGGGGTTTGGGGTACAGGAGGGGGCTCTGGTTTGGGGGGGCTCAGGACTGGGGTTGGAGCGCAGCTCCGGCAGCTCCTGGTCAGCGGTGCAGCCAGGGTGCAGACGCAGGCTTCTCGCCTGTCCTGGCACCGCAGACTGTGCTGCACCTGAAAGCGGCCAGCAGCAGGTCCAGCTCCTAGATGGCTCTTGCCTGCAGGCACCGGCCCCCCCAGCTCCCATTGGCTGGGAACCGGCCAATAGGAGTGCGAAGCCAGTGCTCAGGGTGGGGGCAGCGCGTGGAGCCCCGTGGGGCCGCGCCCCTTCCCCCACCCCTGCCTAGGAGCTGGGCCTGCTGCTGGCCGCTTAGACTCATAGACTTTAAGGTCAGAAGGGACCATTATGGTCATCTAGTCTGACCTCCCGCATGATGCAGGCCACAAAAGCTGACCCACCCAATTTCCCTTATCTCAGCTGTTGAAGTCTCCAGATCGTGATTTAAAGACTTCAAGTCGCAGAGAATCCTCCAGCTTGTGACCCCTGCCCTATGCTGTGGAGGAAGGCAAAAAATCTCCAGGGCCTCTGCCAATCTACCCTGGAGGAAAATTCCTTCCTGACTCCAAATATGGCGATCAGTAGAACCCCGAGCATACAGGCAAGATTCTCCAGCCGGACCCTCATTTTACCAGCGATGGCACGTTATTGCCTAATTGACTAAAATCACGTTATCCCATCAAACCATTCCCTCCATAAACTTATCTAGCCTAATCTTGAAGCCAGAGAGGTCTTTCGCCCCCACCGTTTCCCTCGGAAGGCTGTTCCAAAATTTCACCCCTCTGACGGTTAGAAACCTTCGTCTAATTTCAAGCCTAAACTTCCCCACAGCCAGTTTATATCCATTCGTTCTCATGTCCACATTAGTACTGAGCTGAAATAATTCCTCTCCCTCCCTGGTATTTATCCCTTTGATATATTTAAAGAGAGCAATCATATCCCCCCACAGCCTTCTTTTGGTTAGGCTAAACAAACCGAGCTCCTCAAGTCTCCTTTCATAGGAAAGGTTTTCCATTCCTCGGATCATCCTAGTGGCCCTTCTCTGTACCCGTTCCAGTTTGAGTTCATCCTTTTTAAACATGGGAGACAGAACTGCACGCAGTACTCCAAATGAGGTCTCACCAGCGCCTTGTATAACGGAAGCAGCACCTCCTTGTCCCTACTAGAAATACCTCGCCTAATGCATCCCAAGATCGCATTAGCTTTTTTCACAGCCACGTCACATTGCCGGCTCATAGTCATCCTGCGATCAACCAGGACTCCGAGGTCCTTCTCCTCCTCCGTCACTTCCAACCGATGTGTCCCCAGCTTATAACTAAAATTCTTGTTAGTCATCCCTAAATGCATCACCTTACACTTCTCACTATGAAATCTCATCCTATTATTATTACTCCAATTTACAAGGTCATCCAAGTCTCCCTGCAGAATATCCCGATCCTTCTCCGAATTGGCAATGCCTCCCAACTTTGTGTCATCCGCAAACTTTATAAGCCCACTCCTACATTCGGTTCCGAGGTCAGTAATAAATAGATTAAATAAAATCGGACCCAAAACCGAACCTTGAGGAACCCCACTGGTGACCTCCCTCCAACCTGACAGTTCACCTTTCAGTACTACCCGCTGCAGTCTCCCCTTTAACCAGTTCTTTATCCACCTCTGGATTTTCCTATCGATCCCCATCTTTTCCAATTTAACCCGCTTACGGGGCGCAGAGCGGTGCCTTAGCCGGGCAGCGCCGATGATGGGACCCAATGCCTTTCATTCCGGGACCCAGTAATGGGTCACAACCCACAGTTTGAAAACCACTGGTCTAGGCAATCCTCTGGTGAGTTGCCCAGTCCTCCACCAGATCAAGTTCCTGGGAATGCTGGTGTCCTTAGATTCCCGAAGAAGAGTCCAGCTTTCATAGCCTGTGGCTAGTAGTAGGATTAAAAATTTGAAGCACCACTTATTCTTTCAGCCTATTTTGGAGGCTTGTTTGCGAATAACTTAAGCCAGCTTCTCTTAGGAGCTTTCCAAAGCTGTGTGGTAAAAGTTGAGGGATTCATAGTTATGTACATGACCAGAGTATTGCTAATTCCACCCTAGGGCAGCATGTCAAAGCTATGAACAGTAGGAGACACACTAGAGCTGTCTGTGTTCCCTTGGAAGATAACACTGAATCAGCTTAGCCTTCCAAACATGAACTGAGTGTCTCTTTACAATCAGCACTGGAAAGATTCATTTTTAAATGAAAGATTGAAGGGATACCATCAATTTGAAATGAGTGAATTAAAAAACTGAATAAGTAGCTTCAGATTCCCTTGACCTTTTTCTTTCTTTTTTCACAATTTCCTACTTTTCACACAGCAGTATACTTTTTAGATTCTCACAAGCAGGGGAAACTGACTTTCGGGGATTTCTGTAGTATCTATATGCTTCCCTGGTAAATTAGATCTGTTTGAGGTCCCTAGTATTACGGAGGGTTCAGCTGTACTTGGGTTTTACATTTAATAAAATGAAGATCAACCAGGTTATGGTGCAAAATGTTTGTGTGAAACTGGCTGCACAAAGGTGTTGTAGCGCACCCACAATAACTGGAAAAATGGAAGTCTTTCATTGGTCTTTCATTTACAGTAATCTTCAGTGTTACAAGTAACAATAGGTGGTACAAAATGTTCAGACAGAACTTGGTGCAGGGCAACTTTCCTGTTCTCTGGGACAAATGGATTTTTCAAGCCCTGCTTAGTAGTAGCCTGATTGTTCATTTTCCATGCCAGGTAGCTGTGATTTGTAGTTGAGAAGTAGGATTGCATGATCTTTGTCTCAGAAAGGTGCTATTTTATTTAAATCTTTAAAATATGCATATATACAACAAAAATATTCAAGTTTTATCAAACACGTAAAACTCCTCTTCCTAATCTAACTAGACATTCAAAATTAATAACTCCATCTGCTTAACAACCTTGCCCCCCAAACAGCCTGTCCTTCCTAATGACCCATTCCTTGAAAGGCTAGGAGAATATAGTCTTTAATTACAGCATGCTCTGTCAGCCAAGCCACCCTCTGGATGGTTTTTTGTTGTTGATTTGTTTTTGTTCAGCATAGATGAGATAAGCTGTGTGTGAGGCAAGGGAAATACTATTTGAGACTTGGTGGCACCATATGAAAACTTTGAAACAAGTTGTAATGGAAAACAAGTCTGCATATATAGCAAAAGTCTTTCTGTTCCCTTTCTTTTATTTCTTGATTTTTGCATGAAACCTATATCTTTATTTTTAAGAATGCTACCGTTCTTGCTGTTTCCCACCCAATACTTACTAGAGAAACTGATTATAATATTATGAGCAGGTTCTGGCTTCAGGTGGGGGGAATAAGCAAACAGATTCAACCTGTTTTCATGCTGAGGTATTTGGTATTAAGGATAGGAAATACAATATTGCAGCAGAAGTCTCTTCAAATAGAATTTCAGTGTGAAGTCTCTAATTCAGTGTTAAAAACTCAGTGGTTGTATGTTATATTATTTAGTTTGATAGTTTTGTATGTCATGAAAAGAAGCAGGGAGTAATGACTATTTTCAGAAATTCACCAGTTTTTAATATATTGATTATAAATTCTTATTGAATATATTTCCCAACAAAAGAAGACCATTGTAAAGTAGCATTAATTTATATGCTTAAAGATGTCACAAAAGTATGTTGAAATGAAGATTTAGGAGTTTAAAATGCCAGACACTCTAGTGCTTTACGTAGTTTCAAGCATTTTCATCCTTTAATTTTACACACCATATTTTTGCAACTTTTTGTTTCCATTTTCTAACTTTTTGTTTTCCCCCCTAAATGTTTTGGTGATTCTCCAGAACCAACGAAACGTATGCTTTCCTTCCAAGGGTTAGCGGAGTTGGCTCATCGTGAATATCAGGCAGGAGACTTTGAAGCAGCAGAGAGACATTGCATGCAGCTTTGGAGACAAGAGCCTGATAACACTGGCGTTCTTTTATTACTATCATCCATTCACTTCCAGTGTCGCAGACTGGACAGGTAGGAGATTTGGAATGTCCATTTATACTCTTTGTATCGTTAACACTTCTAGTCTGAAAAAAGAATCTATTAATGCTGTCTGCAGCTATGAGAAACTTTGTTATAATTCTAGTTAATTTTGTTATCAAAACTGATATTTGAGTCACTATTTGACTGACAACAGAGAAGGTCAGGGCACTAACCATAGATTATTTTTCCGTTTTTTGCTTTGGTTATGGTGAATAGCATCCCAGACAACTCCAAGGTAGTGTCTAATCTTCCTTCTGGGCTTTTTTACCTCTTTCTGTAGAGGTCGTGTCCAAGGTTGGTAAATTCTGCTCTGTGAAACCATACTCCACCAGTTTGGGAATGGGAGCTTCTGAAATGACAATCTTCATGCAAAACACATGAAAGTGTGTTAGCTTTTATTAAGCCTCCTCAGAGCTTTGGGTTTTGTGCTCAAAGTAACTGAATTGAAGAATAGAGAGAGGCGCGCATTCCTCTAAATAGCTTAAGTTGGTTAAACATGTGACAGAGAACTTCTTTTAATGCCATAAATGGACAAATCAGCATCAACTGTATGTACCAGGTGCACTCAAAGGCACTTATACCTTATTTCTTCTGGTGCCACTTGGACACTAGCTGTTAGGCCGCAACACATGTTGTTTACCTCTGAAATATGTTCCTCTCTTTGGAATCTTTGTGAAATTTTCTTAGCCTCAAAGTTGACTCATTGGTGTATTTTTACCTTCATTAATCTTTCTGCTATGCCTCAGATGTTTAAAAGCTTACTAGCTGTTCTAGTTATTGGAGGTGTAACTACAGTAATTAAATGGTGTGTTTAGAATTATTGCTACAAGCATCTCCTCACCATAGTGCCTTGGTATCATTTTATGTGGTTTAGATCAAGTGTAATATTTCCCAAGTTTAGGGATCAAAAAGTTTCTACATCACCCCTCCCTGTTATACTGTCTGTTGAAAAGAGTCAGAAAAAAACATATGCGTAGGTTGATCGGAAGGAGTGCCAAAGCCTGCAACTGTGAAAAGTGTGAATAGAAGTCTTGCAGTGTTTTTGATTCATCAGTGTGATCTTAGGCTAGAAGATTTGCAAAATTCAACTTACCTCTGACAAGTAATCTGTCTTGAATGAACATGTAAAATATTGTGAAGTTGGAATTGTAGATTTTGTGCCTGGGCAGATAAAACTTGCTGGATGGTTTTGCAAGGATGGCTAATTGGTTATATATTTGACTGATTGGAGCAGGGCTTTGGAGCTGTGCTCTGGCTCCGCTCCAGCTCCAGGCAAAAACCTGCAGCTCCACTGCTCTGGAGCTGCTCCGCACTCCAGCTCCGCTTCAAAGCCCTGGATTTGAGATTGTACCAGTAGTTCTGGCTGTAGGCTTGCCTGTAAACCCCACCATTGGCAAAGTTGTTTGTGTTAACCTGTCTGATTTTCTCCAGGTCTGCTCACTTCAGCACTTTGGCTATTAAACAGAATCCATTGTTGGCCGAAGCCTACTCGAATCTAGGGAATGTGTACAAGGAACGTGGGCAGCTGCAAGAAGCTATTGAGCATTATAGGCATGCGCTACGCCTCAAACCAGATTTCATTGATGGATATATTAATCTGGCTGCTGCACTGGTAGCTGCAGGTGATATGGAAGGGGCAGTACAAGCCTATGTTTCTGCCCTTCAGTACAATCCTGTAAGTAACACTCTGTTCATAGAGCTCCATGTTATACCCCACCATCAAGCACACTGCTGCTTCAGTACAGATAGAGAAGTCTTTGGTTTACATGATGGTTTGAAGAGTTAAGGCTGGTGGTGAAACCCTAACCATAGACTTAGCGCAGGGGTTCTCAAACTTCATCGCACCAATTACTACAAGACCCTGGGCTGGAGGGCCAAAGCCAAGGCCCCGCCACCCCGGGTGGTGGGGGTTGGGCGTCGGCTTCAGTCTTGGGCTCCAGCAGGTCTAACGCCAATCTGGCGACCATTTAAAATGGGGTCACGACCCACTTTCGGGTCACGACCCACAGTTTGAGAACCGCTGACAGTGTTTCTAGTGATCAGATTTTTTACAATTAACATGCTTTTTACAATTTTTAAAAGGCATGACATTCTTTGCTTGTCTGCAAAAAAAAAAAAAAAAAAATTATTTCTGGGAATGTTCTATGACTGCTTGTTATATACTTACCTGTATAATTGAGTTAATAAAGGAAATTTCCCAAGCAATGACTCTGAAAAACATTTGGGAGTCATGGTGAATAATCAGCTGAACATGAGCTCCCAGGGCAATGCTGTTGCCACAAGGGCTAATTCAGTTCTTAGCTGCATAAACAGGAGAATCTCGAGTAGGAGTAGAGAGGTTATTTTACTTCTGTAATTGACATTAGTGAGACCACTGCCAGAATACCTAATTCCGGTATCCAAAATTCGAGGATGTTGATAAATTGAAGAGGGTTCAGAGAAGAGCCAGGAGAATGAATAAAGGATTAGAAAACATGCCTTATAGTGGTAGACTCAGGGAACTCAACCTGTTTAGCTTAACAAAGAGAAGATTAAGGGGAGGCTTGATTAGGGCTTGTGTACACTTAAAACGGTGCACTGGCACAGCTGTAGTGCTTTAATGAAGATGCTCTACGCTGAAGGAAGAGAGTTCTCCCATTGGCGTCGTTAATCCACCTCCCCAAGAGGTAGTAGCTATGTCAGTGGGAGATGCTCTCCTGCCAGCATAGTACTGTCTACTCTGGCGGGTAGGTCAATATAACTACATTGCTTGGGGTATGATTTTTTCCACACCCCTGAGGGATGTAGTTATACTGACATAGGTTGGTAGTGTAGACCAAGCCTTAGTCTAGAAGTACCTACATGGGGAGCTGATACTTGATAATAGGTTCTTCAGTCTAGCAGAAAAAGGTATAACGTGATCCGGTGGCTGGAAACTGAAGAAATTCAGACTGGGAATAAGGCATACATTTTTAATAGCGAGGGTAATTAACCATTGTAACAGTTTACCAAGGATTATGGTAGATTTCCCCATTGCTGGCAATCTTTAAATCAAGATTGATGTTCTAAAAGATATGCTAATTTGGGGAAATTCTGTGGCCTGTGTTATACAGTAGGTCAGACTAGATCACAGTGGTCCCTTATGGCTTTGGAACCTATGAATGATTTTTAGATTTTTTTTCTAATAGGTGATTTGCTATTGATGCCTTTGACTTACATGAGGAAATTCTGTGAGAAGGAAGAGAGTAGGGAAAAATTGATCTCTGGATTGAGAACTAGGGAATGCTGTACTGTCATTAACGTCTTTTGAAGTTTTTAAATCATATAAACCTGAAAGTTGTTAAATACTAATAAATCCATACTATGGATTAACAAGATGCAAAAAAGATTAATATTTAACATTTCAGTGTTTCCCTTGGATGGGATCATCTGCTTTAGTGACTTTGTCATATACCTAATGCCAAGATGTTAGACTGTTCATTATCTTTTTAGTCTTCACTAGAGCCTTGCAACCTGACAGAATCAGAATTCAGTTGTGGGGTTCGGGTCAGGTCAGAATATAACCTGACCCATTTGGGTCAGGTAGGCTCTGTCACCACCTACCCATGCGGTCAGTGTGGCAGTGGCTGCAGGCCCCTCTCCTGCTGGCCACTACAATCTCTCTGTGGAGTAAGACTGATGTAGACTTCTCACTCCACATCATGCACAGTACAATGAGGCCATGGCAGCCAGAAGGAGCAGGGCATGCAGCAGCTGTCATGTCAACTCCGTGGGCAAGGGGGGCAGGAAACCCCCACCAGGCCAAACCCCAAGGACGAGGAGGCCATGCTGACACGAGTTCAGGGGGAAGGGTCATGTTTGGGTTAGTTCTATAAATGCCTCAACACACTCAGGTGGGATTTGCATTGGGTTGTGCTTGCTTCAGGTTCATTTCAGGGTTTAAAATTAGGCCTGAGCTGACCTCTGGTCTGCATTGTGCTCTCCAAATACTTCACACAGCCCTGCTGACTGCAGTGGGACAATTGGCTACTGGATCAGGATTGTCAGTTTCCCGGGGAAAAACTGGTTTAGGACAGGGTGCTGGTAAATACTGGTTTAAACCAGGAATCTGCGAGAAATAATTGTTAGTATCCAGAAGTTCAGCAAGCATAGAACAAATCATTTCAAACTTTAGATACATCCCTTCAGAACTGAGGAGTAGGTTCAAAGTTGGTCTTCTACTATAGAATGCTGCATGACCAATAGGACCTGGACTGGTAGTCTGCAACTGTGCATGCTTCTGATTGCTTAATGCTTCAGGCCTACAACTCTGCATTGTCGTTTTCACATAATCAAATGTTTTTGACTTTTGTTTATATAATATTGAAAACTGAAATGGGTCATGACATGTATAAATTCCCTGAGAGGGTACTGAAGCAAAATGTATGCAGATATTCTGATCAGTATTATAAATACATATATTATGTATTATACACAGTTTTACTTTTTGTACATCCGTAAATTAATCCACATATACTGTCTTGTGTAACCACAGTTTAAATATGTAACTAAAACTAAGTGTATTGTGGTGTGCATTAACAAAACTGTTTTTAAAATAGTCCAAGTGTAAGGCATTTTCTAACTGGCTTTTCCCTGGGGTGGTTAAAAATCATGATTTTATTTGATAAAAAATAATCTCTGGTAAAAAATTGTTAGGTTTAGCTTTCCTCATTGCAGCACACTGTCGGCTTGTGCGCTGTTCAGGAATACTGCACTATTGTTTCCTTGTGTTCTACTCAATGTAAAACAAGTTTAAAATGTGTATCTTTCCGGGGAGTGGACGCTGGAAGTGCCTTCCTTTCCTGGTCCTCCCATTTGCTGCCAAAATAATACTTTAGTTCTGAGTCCTGGCTCTGGTTACAATGAAAGTAAGAAAATGATAAAATAGGGACAGCGAAGCAGGGGAAATGGGACAAACTACCAAATGAACAAAATTGGAAAAGAAAAGCTGCCGTAGAGGCAGGGTTACTTTCTGTCTAGGTACTTAAGGTCCCCATCACAATAGAATCTGAACAAAGCACAGATAATTACGAAGGTACGATTAGGGTGATGGGTTTGAGACCTAAGGTAGATTTTTTTGATAGTTTCTCCCAAAATTATTTTCACTACTGCTCAAAAGAATTGAGGCTCTCATACAAAAACGAGACCTAAAAACTTATTTTCTTTGTTTGCTGTTGGTGTTTTTCCATTACTGGAATTGGATTAATTGAGTGCTTCTCTTTATAGGAGTCACCATATTACTGTTTAACAGCTTGATTACGCACTACATCAAAGATTTTAGGTCTAGAGAAGTCATTAGGCCTCCTCTACTTGGTTACGAAGGGTCTTGAACAGTACAATAGAAAACAATGAGCACTAGGGGATTAGAGAAGTTTAAGCACTTTCATGAGGTCTCTTCACTCCCAAGTGCAGCTGCTGACAACATGACTTTGATTTTCAGGACTTGTACTGTGTTCGTAGTGACCTGGGGAACCTGCTCAAAGCCCTGGGTCGCTTGGAAGAAGCCAAGGTAGGTGTTCAGTAGAATACATTTAAACATCAATGTTTTGAAAACTTGAACTTTTCACCAAGTCTTCAAATCTGCGTTGATCTGCAAACAATCTGAGAAACTGCTGAAAACTGAAGGCACTGAATTGCCCCAGCGTAGTTGCAGGGCAAGATATGGCACGTCCATGTTAAATGTTGGTTTAAAACAAGAAACGGAACATTACTGAGTCTTTCTGCTGAACTAGACTATCTGATATCATTCTGAAGTCTTGGGCAGGGCCTTCACCATGATCTTATCTGGAAATAAATAACTCCTTCAAATCTGAGGCTTGCCTGCTGGTGCCAAGCAGAGAGCCTGTGATTTAGCTCGAGATTCCTGTACAATGCAGGTGCTATTGAAAATGCTGCTCTTCTAAAGTCCTTTGCGGCTTGTAAGTGGAGAAGAACCCTTATCCAAATGTTACTCTGTAATATTGGCTTTTAAAGATTTTATTCTTTAACCTTTCCCCTCACCTTTATAGTGGAAGAAAGGCTAATAAACTATCATAGATGCAGTACATCATCCCCTAAACTTGTGCTTCCATGTCTTCCCCCAAAATAAAGCATCAGAAGGACAAAGCTGGTTTGTTTGGGAAATGAACTGATTGAAAGAAAACTTGCTAAAGTGGAAAGGTGGCTTCTAGCAGTCTGTGTTTCCCAAACTGAGAATTTGAATACCAACATGGGTTTTAAAGCTTTTGACATATTTAAAACTTTGATTGCAAAACAAAATGGTCTTGTTACAAGCCACCTTACGCGTCTGCGCTGCAGGGGTGAGGAGTGTGGAGAAACCAGAGTGACTTTGGACTCCACGTCCGTCACTCCAAGCCCCACGCGCATGCTAACAAGTGGAGTGTATGAATAGTGTAGCTGTCTGTTTGGCTGCAGCACCATTTGGGGAGGGATATTGCTTTCAGCACTATCTATTGCGGGGTAGGGGGAGTGCTACTTTAAAGTGCATTGTTCATATTTTTTTCTGACAACTCGGATGCATACTTGTCTAGACCAGCATAATTCACAGTTGGTCAGATCTGAGCTGAACAGATTCTGAAATAGTAGTTCACCAATTATAAATGTCTTTGAGACACTTGGTTCTCAGCCCACCAAGTGGACAGCTAACATGTATTGCACTTCACTGCAGCTTTAGTGTGACTGGTATAGGCCAAGACACTGCGCCTGCCTTAGGTTGCTGACCTCTTTGTTTCAGAGCTCTGGAGACACCTAGTTTGAAAGTTATTCTGTTTTTTCCGAGAACTCATTGAGCAAGAAAAATATCTTGAATAAATTGCAATGTATTTCTTTGGTTATCAGTGCATTTGAAAGATCAAGCCAGCAAATTCCTTACAGTTTGAACCAAAACTTAATTTCTTGGTAGACATTTCAGAGCCTTTCTTCCAAAAAAAAAGTCCCTGCTGTATGCAATAGCCCTGATTAACCCTCTCCCTTCTGCATGACTCCTATGTTACAGATTGTTCTCATTCCCATGTTAGACATATCCAGAGAATTTCAATTGCTTTGTTGAACTTTTACTAATGATCTTGTTTTATTTTCTCTCTTGTTTTTGGTTTTTCACCACTGATATTGTATTTAGAAGGTTTCAGGTGGGTGAAACCTCCTATTCCATGCGTAAGGTGCCTCGCTGAAGGGAGCTCGAGGCCTGGATCTAGGGCAGACACACACCTCCTCCTCCTCTTCCAGCAAGGAACGCACCGAAAAGTCACATGATGAGAAATATGGTAACGGGTTTGTAACTGCCACAGCAAAACCATTTGCCTCCATGCCTGAATCTTCTGTCTTGTGGCTCCAGAAACAGCTTAAAATATTTTATTTACAAGCAAGTAATGTAAGAGAATGTTTTATACTACTAGCCACAATTCTTTCAAAGAAATAAAGTAAAAGTAAATTAAGATATTTTAAAAAAAAAAAGAAATAATAATTGGAAATAGTTTATAGTAAAAGCTTCTAACTCTTCTGGTTGTTCATTTTTTCCTTTTTTTCTTCTTTGTTTGGATTGCAGCGTTCTGCTCTTCTGATGATGCGCTGTGATCCTGCAGTAGCGCAAAGGCTGCGCAGCGGTAACGCGCATTGCGTGCGAGTAAGCCCTTGTGAACGGTTGACTAGATGATTAATCTGTGATTGGGCGGCTGTCTGAGCTCCATGCCATACCCTTTTAGATAAAATCGGGTCACCGTTCATTTAGTCCAGATGTCAAATTTAACATGGAAGTTTCTACGTGGGCCTGTCTGGTAGATTAATGATTCTGGTTGGCCGTTCACTCTATCTTGGGGCAGTCTACGTAGCACAGCAATTTGCAGCGATAGCGTGGCGGCGTGCTGTTAGGATGCGCCAGCGACTTCTTGCGCTTGCATTACAGGGACCTAAACCTTCATGCAATTCTGTTATTTGAGGTTTTGAGGCTGAGATGACTCAGTGAAAATATATTCAAGAGGGAGGAGTTGTGAGTAGAAATAGCAGAATAAAATACAACTTGCGTATAACTTCTGACTCAGGGGAAAGGACAGGTAAGCCTTCAAAAATGTTAACGCCACTTTCAGTAGTTTGCTTCTAGATTTTTTTTTAAACATTTTATATCCACATCTTCAGAGTACTTCTAAAATCATATACATTTTTCCTGACTTAAGGCCTTTGTATCCAAGGGAAACCAGTTGCTTTGTGAAGTAAATTCTTGATGACTCCTAGATGTGGCAGACAAGTCAGAACTAGAAATGATTTGGAAGAAAAATCCTCCGTTCTGTACTAACAGTGTTAAGTCCTCAGGTGAATTGGTCTCTGAAGGCATATTACCTAAAGATCAGCATAACTGAAAAATGGTGGGCTTGCACTTAGGTTTTGGTTTGCGCTGGCGCAGGATCAGCCAGCTGTTTACAGTGCATTAGTTTTGGCGCAAGCTAGCCTATACTGCAGGATCACTTTTGGCTGGTTAGAGAAGGAATACTGACGATTTTTTTTTCTCATTTTTCTTTTTACAAATATTCCCCTTCCTCTCTATCTTTCTTCTTAACTGTTTCAAGGCCTGTTACTTGAAAGCAATTGAGACTCAACCAAACTTTGCAGTAGCATGGAGTAATCTTGGCTGTGTTTTCAATGCTCAAGGAGAAATTTGGCTTGCTATTCATCATTTTGAAAAGGTAACTGTTTATGCCTGTCATGTTCTTCAGTTAATTCTAGTGAGCAAAGGATTGTGTAGATACAAATAAGCACTTTTCTAGCTGGGAGAAGTATTCAGGTCTGCATATACTACTACCCAATGTGGTATATTGTTAATTATTGGTATAACTTAACTCATGAAATACCTATTCACGTGTAACACTGGAGTAGTGTTTTAGAATTGCTGTAATAAGGAATTTTCATAGGTAAGTGGCTTTAATAGCCTTTTTCCATCTCTAACTCCTCTGAGAACTGCTTTATTACAAGCATTTCTAAAATGGCATCCTGGTAGTATCTGAGCACTCTTAAATAAAGTTGGCTAGTACAATTTCCTGTTCAAGTAGTTTTTCTTCAGTTTGCTGTTTCCAAGTATTTCCGTTGAGCAGCTTAGGAAAATTACTTTAAACAGATGTACTAATTGCATTTTCCCAGGATGTTAAATATTGTTTCCTGTTCGTGTTTCTACTTCTAGATTCTTATGTATATATAATTCCTGCTCTCGCTAGTGTGCAACACCTCCCAGTTAGCGTAATCTGATAATGTGCTGTTTCTCTTCAGATTCCTTAATGGTCTAAATCCGGTCCTATTTTTTATATAAATATATATTCATTTATATATTATTATTATTTTTTTGGCCTCTGTGACATAAACCAAGAATCACAAATGGCAATTATGATCATTCAGCTATTTGTAGTTGATGTGGTAGTTTTCATATGAATGACTTTTACGTTTTTAGTCTATCAAATGCTTCTCTAAAATCTAATCATCTGCATTCTTTATTTTGTATCTTCTGTAATTTATTAGCATACTTTCAGTTCCTAGTAAAATAATGTACTGGATATGAACTTGCTAGAATAGCCTTCTAAAGACCAATACAATATTTGCTCTTTTTTACTCTGGTACCGACTCTGTCTCTATAGCATCTAAAAAAATTGTAGTTGGCTTAGTATTTTGCCACAGGTGAGGGATATGGATTGCATTTCTTAACCCTGTAAGTACAGGAGGGTTGTTTCCTAAAACAGGTAGAGAAATCATAGCATTACATTAGTGGGGGTAAAGCAGAGTAAACCCAACTTCAAACAAATCTTTAGGGCACAACTGTGGGGTTGAGGAAAACCGTTCCTTATAGAAAGGGATTCACACCAAAATGTGTGAGTGATTCACCCAAACACGTCTGTAGGATTTCCATTAAGTCTCACTAGTTGTAAAGCCATAAACACTGTTGTCTGTTGCTCCATCGTGCAGAATAGCTGTGCTTCAGTATCACTGTGATGCAGTGACCCCATACGATCTTGCAAATATCAAGAATACTACATGATGAAAGATGTTAGTTTATTTTATAACATAAAACAACCACAATTGGCATCTGTTGGAATCCATTTTGACAGGCAAGGGATTGTATGAACATGGAGACAACTAGGTCAGGGTTGATACAGGAGTGGGTGGGTGAGTTTCTGTGGCCTGCGTTGTGCAGGAGGTCAGACTAGACAATCATAATGGTCCCTTCTGACCTTAAAGTCTATGATTCTGTATGTTGGTAGGCCAGTTTAGGGGAGCTCGTACTGTTGTGTGTTCTGTGGATAAAAATAGGACTTCAGTCCTCACTGTTGTCAATCCAGCATCTTTCACAAGTGCTAAATTCACTCCAGAAAGCAAGCAGGAATATGTTGTGTATATTAGCATTTTATGCTTGCCTTTAATCTTCCTTACTCGTAGTTTGTTTATAGATCCTTTAAATAACTGTTTACAAATCGGGTTATATCCATTAAATAAATATTAACTTTGGGTTTCTTAGGGTACTGTTTAAGGTATGTGGTAATGTTCAAAGCTTGTAAGTTACCTTTTTTAATATCTTCAGGCTGTGACACTTGACCCAAACTTCTTGGATGCTTACATCAATCTGGGGAATGTTCTGAAGGAGGCAAGGATATTTGACAGGTAAGCATATAACATCCCTTCAGTAGCCAATCAGATGCTTAACCAGACATGGACTTCTAATTTAGAAAGCTTTTCTTTCTTCAAGCATTGCTTGTAAAGACTGCAATTCAAGGAGAAACATGCTCTTGATATGCAAGCTTTGAGCTTCCTGGAGAGTAGAAATTTAGTCTTGTCTGTCACTACCCCTGTCGGTATCCTTCTTGTGAGATCTTATGCTTTCACCTCATTTTTATTAATACAGTGTAGTTAGGCTATTTACCAAAACTTTTTAGTTCTACTGTGCCTTTTTTTTTTTCTTTTTCCCTATTGAGACTTTCCTGCTCCATTGTAGATGACTTGCGTTCATAGAATCATAGATGTGTAGGGCTGGAAGGGACCTCAAGAGGTCATAAAGTCCAGGCCCCTGCGCTGAGGCAGAACCAAGTAAATCTAGAGTCTAGACCAGTGGTTCCCAAACTGGGGTTCGTGAAATGTTACAGGGGGTTCTTGGGAAAAAATTCCCTAATGGCGGACAGAGCTGTCCCTAGGAATCCCGGGCAGCACGGGGCCAGCACCCTGGAGCGCCTGGACTTCCAAGAGCTAAGCAGATCAAAGCAAGCATATCTGTTACACTGAGGTGATTTAAACTTCATGACTCCTTATAAGAAATGGAAAGGGAGGTGGATATTTCTTGCTGTTTTTAAAATTAAATGGGCAGCTAGTATTGTTTTTAAAATTATGAAGAACAAATTTAAGCTTTGTAACGTGCGTTGTTTGCCTGGACTGCTCAAGACCTGAATGCTTGTGTAGGAGGAACTCTTTGAGTTGGCTTCTTAAATACCTTCATGCTGTTTCACATCTGATACTCCTTGATGAAACATAGGAGCCTTCTCTTATAACAGGCTTATTCAAGCTACGAAAGTGAGACCTTGGAAGAGTGGTGCCATTTTCATAATGTAATAATACTGTAATGATACACACTATTTATTATTATTTAATAAGCATATCATAAAAACAAATTTTGTATTTTCAAGATCACTGCTTTTATCATTTATACTCAGGTAAAGGAGAAAATCCCTGGAAATATTCATTTTTAGGAGGGTGTTCGTGAGACTTGACATTTTAGTGAAAGGGGTTCACAGGTTGTTAAAGTTTGGGAATCCTAAAATCTTGCCAGCAGACCTAAAACCGATAAAAGGAAATACTGTTATGTGCAATACACAGTTATTTCACTGCCACAGGATACTGTTGAAGCCAAGAGTGTAGAATTTTAAATAGTTTCAAAATTGATGTAGCTAATGAGACCATCCAGAGTTACAAAAGTTAGGACTTAAAACTCTTGGTTTTTTTTTTTTTTTTTTTTTTAAAAACAGATATAAATCCTTGTGTTTCAAGGCATAAGGAAGCCTCTAATGGGGGCTAGGAAGAAGCTTTCTGAGAGGACTGTTTATTTTGTAACTGCTACTGCAGGGTTTCTTGTAACTTTCTCTGAAGAATCCAGTACAGACCTCTGTCTCACAGAATACTGGACAAGACAGATTGCTGGTCCCCATTTGTTTTAATTTCAGGGTGATGAGACAGATGTGAGTTGATGCTTTATGCAGAACATTTTTGGTCTTTCTTGAATTTGCCCTTTCCGTGCTTAGGACTTAGGAAACCCGGGTTCAGTTCTCTCCTCCACTCAGACACTCCCCGTGTGACCTTTGGAAAACCACCGTGCCTCAATTTCCCATTTGTAAAAGAGGGAAAATAGCACTACCCTACCTCACAGAGGGTGTTGGGAGGATAAATACATTAAAGATTGTGATGCTCTCATACTAGTATGGTGCGGGGGCCATGAGTACCATAGATATTTATTCATTGGAACCAGAGTTGTTTCTTTCTGAAAGCCCGAACTAGGAATTTGCAAGTTGACTATTATTGGGAAGGTGGTTCCTGGATTATGGTGGTGACTTTTGGATGGCTCGGTCTTCCAATTCTAACTACACAGGTTGAAATTTGTGAGCTGTAAGATCAGGGAAGAGCACATACAATGGTAGCTTTGTTGTTATATATGATTGCCATGTCAAAACAAAAAAAATGGGCCCATCTAGTTCAACAATGCCTGTACTTGATGCTTGGCCAGCCGCTTATAAAATATTTCCACTTTCAGATCACTTTGGATTTAGAGGAAGAGAGTTCCTTAATCCTGTATAGCTATCAGCTTTTTCTTTTTCATTTTTCAGCCTTCTTCATTTTGAATCCCCCCCCCTTTTTCCCCCCCCACTTCTTCTGGTTTATGGGAAAGGATAAATAGTCCATTTTATTTGATATGCTTTTTATGTCCACTTAATTCCAGACCTTCAAATCCTTCATGCTACTGCTCTTCCACTTCTGAGATTGGACAACTAAAATGGAGCACTATATTCATCTGAGAACCTTTTATCTATTTTTTTATATTCTCTAGCATATATTTTTGATTGCTGCAACACATTGCATGGATGTCTTCATTGGCCTACCCAAAATCTCATTTTAGTTTTGTGAGATCATTGTTAATCTGAACCCATGAATCTCAAATTTTAGTCCATAATTTTTTCCTGGGAAAAGAGCCAGGTTGTACTGTTTCAGTGCTATGTACCATACTGTGTCTTTATTCGTAAATAAGGTTATAATTTCTATTGACTGACTTGCAGCTTTTGAATTTCATAGGTGGCCTGAAAGGCACATTATGTTCTATTCTGGCCACCTGCACAATGCAGATCCTAGAATTTGATGCAGTAATTCCTATATCTAGTTCCATAATTTGTGGTTAAACTAGAACATGTTTCTTAGAAAGATATCTGATTTGTTGATTACCTTTTGGTGATCTGTTCCACTGTGTAAATGCATTATTAAATTAATGTATTTTCTAGGAATCAAGATTCTTAGCCACGTGAGATTTTTATTTATATAGAAGCACAGGTGTGCATGATCTTCAGACAAATAAAAAAGGTAGATTCTTAATACATGTTTACAATCTAAATTACACGTAACTGAGCAAGGAATGACACATGGGTTGGGGATGAGGAGGCAGAATATTGGAAAGATGAGCTACAATAATAAGATTGAGTGCTTTGCCATAATTTAACACTTTGTTGTGTTAAATTGATATATTTTGACAAAATAAATTTGGTGTAAAAGTCAGAGAAGCATTTTTAAAGCAAGATCTCCTGTTCCTCATAGCTTCTAAAGTAAGAGTAATCACAAGCAAAAAGAACACTTTATTTCATCCCACATGGGGATTATTCACGTACAATGTAGATAAATGTAAGATAAAGCAAATAATGCAAAGGGGTACTATTGGAAACAGACTGTAAAGTTGGCTGATGAGATGGCCTGACCTTGGCTACATTATCTCAGAAACCTGCTGAGGTAGCATTGTTGCAAAAGTAAAACATACCCCTTAGTAGGACTGGTGTGCAAAAGAGAAGACACTCTTGGATCAGGGTACCTGTTAAGGCAAGAAATGTATTATGCTAAATGTGGTAAAAGCTGCATGCTGTAGACTAATCACAAGGTCTCTGTCCTGAAAAGCATAGTCTAATTTTAACTTGACCTGTTTAACAAAGGGGAAGGTAATAAAATAGTAGGGACTGGGTATATGAGAAGGAACAGGGATGAGAACCAAAAGAATACAAGGTTATTTACGGCAAGAGCATTATGGAAAAATAATGTGTGGATCTTCAATATAAATGACTCTCCTTGGTTGTATGAAAAAGGGGGCTTGAGGAGGGATTTGGATGGGAAGGCATTCCATGTGTAGAAGGGCAGCATCCTAGACCACTTCTAGAAGCTACTTAGTTTGTCCTCTAAACACCTTGTTCCTTTCTTTTCACACTAGCTCTGTAGAGATGATATTTAATTGGCCACAGAAATCTTGTTTTCAGGAATTAAACGTCTCTGTATGTATTACTTTCTTTTAGATATTACATTCACAGCTGATTTTTCTTAATATAGTAGAAATATATTTAAAGTTATTTTTGTCTTTAAAAGTGACTTGCGATGGTTGGGAAGGGGGAATTAATCCTTTTTTAGTTTGATACACAAAGGAGACCTGTGAGGGGAGTTTGTTTTTTGTGTGTCCACCTCAGAAATATTAGGGATTTCAAGTCCTTTTTGTTGGCGACTGGAGATGTGTGTGAATTTGTTGGTGACTGCAATGTGGATTAGAAGCTCTCTTGGCTCTTAACTGATGGGAGCAGAGTGTGTTATTCTCCCAAGTCTGACAATTAAATAGATGTCACAAAAAAGCAAGAAAAGCTTTTTAAACAGTCTGAATAAATCACTTGTCTCCTCAGATGGGTTTCACTTTTAATTTCTGTAATGTCATAATCCTTTTTCTCCAGTTGCCCTTACTCTTACAGGGTAGACAAGACATTTCATGCCTTGATCTCAAAGCAGCAAAAGGCACAAACCCTATTTTCTCTTCAATGTAGGTTACCTTTATGACCAAGTTAAATGTAAAAATAACTTTCTGCTGTCATCTTACATAGGCCATATGAACACTAACCACACATCTCTCGTTACAGAGCTGTAGCAGCCTACTTACGAGCCTTGAGTCTGAGTCCTAATCATGCAGTTGTGCATGGCAACCTGGCCTGTGTGTATTATGAGCAAGGACTGATAGATCTGGCAATAGACACCTACAGACGTGCTATTGAGCTACAGCCACACTTCCCTGATGCCTATTGTAATCTGGCCAATGCTCTAAAGGAGAAAGGCAGTGTAAGGAGCATTTCTGTTTTCTTGCAGTCTGCTATATTTGAGAGGTTCAGCTGATACACTGCTACCTCGATATAACACGAATTCGGATATAACACGGTAAAGCAGTGCTCTGGGGGGGCGGGGCTGTACACTCTGATGGATCAAAGCAAGTTCAATATAACGCGGTTTCACCTATAACGCGGTAAGATTTTTTTAGCTCCCGAGGACAGCGTTATATCGAGGTAGAGGTGTACTTATTTCAGTGCCTTGAATGATAATGAACTTTAAGGTGGGATGTTGCCTTTAGTATTTGATTGATTTGCTTGTCAGCTTGTAGGAGAAATAATAGGAGCAAAAAATGCTCCATCTCAAAGCTTTTAAAGGTAGACATATTTACTCCTGAAGGAATTATGCACCAAAAAATTAAAAATTATGCACACATTTTAAAATTCTGCAAATTTTTTTGTCAATAAATAAATGTGGCTCCAGCATGGTAGTTGGGAGCACCGGTCACTGGCTGCTTTGAGGTGGGAGATCTGGTACAGGGACTCAGCAGTGAGGCTGTACCCAACCCTGACACAGTGCAAGAGCTGGGCCTGCCCAAGAAACACCATGGGAGTCCTACCCATCTGTGCCAGGTGCACTTGGTGTGGGTGGGCAGGCTCAGCCCAGCAGAATCTAAGTGTGTCGGGGCTTATTTTGGGGGGATCCAGGTATGGGGTGAGAGGTTCCTGTATGGGGCAATCTGGGTGTGGGTGGCTCAGTGGGAGATCTGGATGCACGGAGGTTCATTAGGGAGTTCTGGGTGCAGGGGCAATGGGACTGCAGGGGATCCAGGTGAAGGTGGTTGGGGCTCAGGAGCGGGGGGGGGGGTCTGGGTCGTTTAGGGAGGTCCAGGTGCAGCTGGTTGGGGTTCAGTGGAGTAGGGGTCTGTGTGTGGGACTCGTCTGAGGGATCCAGGTATAGAGGGGTAGGGCTTGTCAGGGTGAGGGTTCGATGGGCCTGCTTAACGGGGGAGCCCCAGCTGCTGTTGAGGGGATGCTGGATGCTGGGCTCCCGCTTCCCCCCAGAATCCTATCCCCTTTTCTTCTCTTTCCCCCCACCCTATTCCACCCCCCCCCATTCCTTCCCCACTGCCTCTCTCTCTCCCCCGCCCTACCACTGGCACTCATGGTTGCACTGAAAACAGGAAGGTTCCCCAGCACACAGAAGGGGAGCACAACTGGCATTGGGGCCCAAGAGGCGGCGTTCAGCTGCAGTCACTGGAGCCAAGATGCAGCCGCCTTCAGCTGGGCAGCTCTGCAGTTGCAGAAATGGGAGGTGGGTGGCAGTGGCACGTAACCCTGTGTGCCCCCATACCTAACCTCTGTTTGTGGGGGCATTCCCCCCCCAAAAAAAAAAAATTGCACCCATGGTCGTTTTCTGCAGGGAAGCACAGTAATTCTGCTGGGGTGGGGGAGTTCTGTGGGCATGCAGTCCCGAAGAATCCCCCCAGGAGTAACGTATTGTAGTGGTGACCACCTCATTGATATATTTCTGTGGCAACATTGCTTAAACAGCAATTCCCTTGCTTGTTTATTTTAAGTACTGCTTAAACACAATTCTTTTTGTTTCTAAGGTTGCTGAAGCAGAAGAATGTTACAATACAGCTCTTCGTCTGTGTCCCACACATGCAGACTCACTTAATAACCTGGCAAACATCAAGCGAGAACAGGGAAACATTGAGGAGGCTGTTCGCCTATACAGGAAAGCTCTTGAGGTACATTTGGATATAAGGAAGAGGGTAGGATGTGGACAAAAAAGCTGGGAACATATGAGGGGTCGATGGTACTTGATAAAGAAGTAGATAGAGGCAGTGGTACTTCTGTTTAAGATTTGATTAATTTGCCAAGGAGACTAACAATGGACAACTATCAGAGGGATAGCCGTGTTAGTCTGTATCCACAAAAACAACGAGGAGTCCTGTGGCACCTTAAAGACTAACAGATTTATTTGGGCATAAACTTTCGTGGGTTAACCCACTTCTAACTCTTCTGCAATGTGATGCCCTTGGAAGATCTGAGGGGCAAACTAACTCTCTCCTTTGTTTCCTGTAGGTGTTCCCAGAGTTTGCTGCTGCCCATTCAAATTTAGCAAGTGTTCTGCAGCAGCAAGGAAAGCTGCAGGAAGCTCTGATGCATTACAAAGAGGCTATTAGGTAAGAATTTTGCTTTTTAAAATTCTCAAAGACTGGCGACAGGAATTCCACAGTCGTCTAGAAAATGGCTTACAACTGTTATGCAAACCAATAATCGAATAGCAGTCTGGATGGGCATTCTTAGAGGACAGACAACTTGTACTGTGGATAATGTATGGTGTGTTTTTTAATTTTAGAATCAGCCCCACGTTTGCAGATGCTTATTCAAATATGGGGAATACTTTAAAGGAGATGCAGGATGTTCAGGGAGCTTTACAATGTTACACCCGTGCCATCCAGATAAATCCTGCTTTTGCTGATGCCCACAGTAACTTGGCCTCTATTCACAAGGTACAGCCATGTTCATAACTTTTTTTATTTTATAACACGGTGATGCATTTGGCAAACTCATTCCTGAATCTGCTTGTGCTTGCTGATTTAGTCTCTGCTTTTGCAGGATTCAGGGAACATACCAGAAGCCATTGCTTCTTATCGCACTGCTCTGAAACTGAAACCTGATTTCCCAGATGCTTATTGCAACTTAGCCCACTGCTTGCAGGTGAGGAGAGAGGGCTGTGACTGTAATTCTATTGGAGATTACTCTAATGTAAATATCTAGGACTAACCACATATTAAGGATCCAGTGTATATATTTTAAAAGGAGCAGAAATAAGTCTTAGTCAAATTAGAAAATAAGACTATGGAGCCATTTTCTCTTACAGAACAGTGCTTGGGTCATAGGTGATTTGAAATACAAGTGAGCTGTAATGGTTATTAAAATACTTTTCAAGTGTGTCTTTATCTCTTGGAATGGAAGAAATGTTAATCACAGTCCCATGTAAACAGAACTTCTCAAAGCTCTGACCGGGCTTTAAAGTTGTTTAAAGTATTCTAACCAGCCATTTAATTTTTCATAAGAATGTCCAGGCTGGGTCAGACCAGTAGTCCATCTAGCCCAGTATCCTGGCTTCTGACAGTGGCCAGTGCCAGATGCTTCAGAAGGAATGAACAGTACAGGGCAATCCTCATGTGATCCATCCCCTGTCATCCCGTCCCAGCATCTGGCAGTCAGAGGCTAGGGACATCCAGAGCCATGGGATTGCATCGCTGACCATCTTGGCTAATAGCCATTGATGGACCTGTCCTCCATGAATTTATCTAATTCTTTTTTGAACCCATTGTAGCTTTGGCCTTTACAACATCCCCTGGCAACAAGTTCCACAAGTTGACTGCATTGTGTGAAGTACTTCCTTTTGTTTTGTTTTAAACCTGCTGCCTATTAAATTCATTGGGTGACCCCTGGTTCTTTTGTTTCTTCTTTTAGATTGTCTGTGACTGGACAGATTATGATGAAAGAATGAAAAAGCTGGTCAGCATTGTAGCTGATCAACTGGAGAAGAATAGACTGCCTTCTGTCCACCCTCATCACAGCATGCTGTACCCCCTTTCTCACAGCTTTAGGAAGGCTATTGCTGAGAGACATGGAAATCTCTGTTTGGATAAGGTAGGAACTTTGAAGACTTTTCCATATACTTGGTTATACCTGAGGAAAAACAGATTGTGCATTGGTCAATTATATTCTGGTATGTAATTCCAATTTTAAAATAGTGGTTCTCAAGCTTCAGATTTACCACCTTGTTGAGATTGATAGGTCTCTTTGCTTCCTGGTTTTGTACAGCTTGGTATTCTCTGGTATTGGGAAGAGGTCAGTCAGATTTAACAACCATCAGTTACGACTGCCAAAACCTCTTACTCTGGCAATTCCTCCCTCCTGCCCCCAATCTGACAGAGTTCTTCTGTGTGTGCCGTAGTGGTGTAGTGCGTCAGTCCCAGGAGAGCTTTTCTCTCTCTCCAACATAAGTTGGTCCAATAAAAGATATTGCCCCACCCGCCTTGTCTCTCTAGAATCCTATGTTGTTCCCTCAATATCTGATCCTGCCTCATCTCCACACTGACCTATCCTGACCGTGGACCCATAGGGTGGAACTCTTTTTTAGAACCGATTAACTCAGCTTTTTGCTTAGACTGACATGATCTGCTTTCTCCTACATTGCCTAGTTGTGTTGCCAGTTCAGTGCACTTAACATTTATCAGCCTGTATGCAGCACTTTAGTGACTGGCCCTATTGCTCCCTTAGTACACTAATCTTTTGATCAAATTTTGATACATGGCTTTTTTCTTTAACTAGAGGATGTGTAGACTAAGCTGTACACTCAGTCAAGCCTCCATTTGAACTCAGATTTGGGTAACACACAGCTCGGCCTGTGTGAGCAACAAATGTGCAACCCTCTGCCTGAAATTTGGGAATTGGTCAGATGTGGTTTTCAAATATTATTGGGTGATAGCAGAAACGTCATCAATGCAGTAGCATAGAAACTTAAATATGGGGAAAATTAATAACGCCGTGTAATTCTGAAAGTCTATCCTATTTACTATCTCTGCTCTTGGTGCTTCCGATTTTATTTAAAGTTTATTATGTCTCAAAAAAATCTTGTGAATTTGATTGCCAGATCAACGTCCTTCACAAGCCACCATATGAGCATCCAAAGGACTTGAAGGCTAGTGAAGGCCGGCTTCGTGTTGGCTATGTGAGCTCTGATTTTGGAAATCATCCAACCTCCCACCTAATGCAGTCAATCCCAGGAATGCATAACCCTGACAAATTTGAGGTAAGAGAACATAAATAGCATGCTGAAAGTTTTAAATACCCAGGGAGCCTCTATTAGCTGTAACCTAGTGAAGGTAAAGTGCATGGTTGTGCAGAAGGTTTGAGGTCATGTCCTCTTTCCTGGCAGTTCTTGGTGTATCACCTTTTGGAGGAGGAGGTGTCTCTTATACCCCAATAGCAGTTCATCTTGCCATTTATGAAGTGGCAGTGAAAGACCACCTGGAGATTCATCCCATCCTCAACTAGAGACACATAAGGGAGGAGCTGTTAATCATTGGGAGTACCCAAGGCACGGAAAAGGAAGTGGCTGACGTGTTGTATGTCCCAAGATATCTTCTAGTAGGGTCTTCCCCATTTAATCTTTTAAATTTCTTCATCATTTCTCATTTGTCTGCACGACCTGTCTTACAACAAGATCAGGATACCCAGTAATGCTAACGAACAGTAGCTGCATATCTGTTTGTCTAAATCTCTGCCTGCCCCAGTCACACTTCTTAATATTTATTGCACATTCTTATGAACCATTTTCAAGAAGACATGACCACTACTCTCTCCCTACTGGGTTATTTCTATCAAGGGATCCTCACTAGCTTCAGGTGTCCTGGCTACTCATTTGTAATTGAAACTGGAAAACAGATGTACAGTTGCACATATTCAGTCACTCCCAATGGAGTAAGTATAACTATACCCCTAAAAATTGCCAGTTTTCTGAATTACTTTTGGTATAAATGGCTTCTTCAAGTGATAGTCCCTATGTATATTCCACACCAGTACGCATGTGCATCATACCCCTGAGCCCAGACATATTTAGTAAGCAGCATCCATTGGTCCGCACATGCACATTTGTTCTTTGTGCTCTAAACCAAGAGTATAAAGGATGTTTGGGACCGATATCTCTCTAGTTCCTTCTTACCACTGCATGGCCTGAGTCAGAATCTTCTGTGTCCACAGCTCTTTCCTCAACTGGCATTCTGTAAATATAGCATAAATAGCTTTTAGTATTTTAAGCTATTATAGTAGAGTGTGGTTGGTTTGGGTTCCCCCCCCACACACACACTAAGGAAATTCCCCCCCAGGAAGCTGGGATTATGCACAGGGTTCAAGAATTGTTTTTGCCCCTTCTCGTTTTCTGTAGAACATCAGTGCTGCCTCTACAGCAATTTCATCATCATTCCCAGATAAGGCAGTTACCCCATCTTCACATTCTCCGCTTGACAATTTCAGGCAGTTACAGGACCTCCTGCACGGGGTGGTACCCGAGCTGCAAATACAACTTGAAGTAGTTCAGGATCCTAAAATAGATTGCTGGACATCTTGCAGCTCTCTGGGCCCAGTCGAGCAGCCCCTCCTGATCAACAAAGCAAACATGGATCCAGCAAAAACAGTGTGGAACACTCCCACCCCCAAGAGGACCAAGCAGTGCTGTTTTGCTCCACCAAGGGGGAGAGAGAGGTCTATTCTAGCACCTACCACCTACCTTTTTTAGTGGTAGAAGTGGCCAGTGAGGGATCCAGGCTGCAAAACCAAAGAACTGCTTCATCAGTCAAAGGTGCTAAATGGCTCATGTCACGCTGTCTGGAGTGGTTCATGACTGAGAGTGCCAGCCTCAGGGCAGACTGTCAAAAAGCAGCACAGACACCCCAAATGGGTGGTATGTTCTATAATAAGATTTCACTAACTCAGTAACAAATGTGAACTGAAGCACTAAAACAGTCTTGCCATGGAGTCATGGACAGTCCCTTTGAGCACTCCAGTCTATCTTGCCACCTAGGCAAACTGGATTTAGTGATAAATGGTCACTTACACTAAAGTCCATAATATTCAATATCAAAAATACAATATCCCAAGAGAGCAGTCGCTTACTCCAGATCAATTTGTACCTTAGATCTCACACCAAAGGCTACACTTATAGCCACTCTTATAGTAAATTAAGGTTCTTCTTCGAGTGCTTGCTCATTTTGATTCCATTGTAGGTGTGCGCAATTGTCAGAGATATTTGCCTTAGCAGTATCTGTAAGGCCGGCTGTGGTGCCCCCTAGAGTGCTGTGCGCATGCCGTGGTATATCAGGCACTGCCGGCCCTATGCCCTCACAGTTCCTTCTTATTGCCTATGGTGGTCAGTCAGAACGCCTCTGTCCCTTGCTCTGCAGGCGGCCGGTGGTTCCTTTTCTTAGCCTTGTGCTTCTAGTTGTAAATAGCTTTATTGTTTGTTAGTTAGTAGTTCAGTAGCCGTTAAGTGTTCAGTTAGTTAGGGGTCCCAGCGGGGACTTTGCCCCAGGTGGGGCATGCCCCAGTCTCCGGGTTTTAAGCCCTGCTCCACATGTAATAGGCCTATGCCTGTTAGTGACCCACTCGATAGTTGTCTGCAGTGCCTCGGGGAATCCCACATGAAGGAGCATTGTCGCATCTGTAAGAACTTTTGTCCTCTGACACAGAGGGACCGTGATATACGACTGAAGGCCCTCCTGATATAGGCTGCCCTGTGCCCAGCTTCAGAGCCAGCTTGGCCCGAAATGGCAACCAGTGCTTTGGTTTCGGTGCGTAGCGCACCCCCGGCACCGGGCTCTTCCCGGCACTGATCTCCATCGCTGATGCCGAAGAAGCAGCCAAAGAAGACTGCACCGAGCAAGCCTGATAAAGGCGTTCTGGGCAAAGGTCCCTGTTCAGGCCTTATGCCCACTCTGGACCCGCACAAGTGCTCTGCTTTGGGGAGTTCCTCTCCCTGAAAAGACCTGCCACCAACTTTGGGGAGAGGTACAGGGTCCAAGCTGACCGTGCAGTCGACACCCTCAGCTTTCGGTGCAGAGCCAAGAGAGTTCCCACTGCAGTTGGCACCGCGTTTGGCAATGGAACTGGTTAAGGCTCCCCGCGAGGGCAAGCCCACCGGTAAGGCCTCGCACAAGACGAGCGAGCACCACAGGTCTCTAGAGCCAAGGCAGAGCTCTAGGTCACCATGTTCTTGGGCTCCGTGTTTTCCCAGGTCTCTGGCCCGTTGTTACCATCATCGGTACGGCGCTCCCGGTCCCTTCGCACCGAAGCTCTCCCAGGTATAGACGATCTCCCTGGCACTGGTCCTCGTCACATTGGTCACCGAGACCTCGAGGCTGCTCTCCCTACTCCCGACACTGGTCGGAATACTCCCATCACTGGTGGGTGACGACTTCTCCGAATTGGAGGCACAGTTCAGCCCTTCACCCAGGCAGCAATGGGACTGGGCTCTGGAGGGTGTGTCTGCAGCATCGGTGCCGGCCTGGCAGCAGGGCCAGTGGCCAACCCAGTGGCCTTATTGGAACGCCTCGGAGGTTCCTATCATGCCGTTGCCCCACTCCCATCAGCCCTCTGTCGCCACATCAGACAGGCAGAAGTCGGCACCCGCAGCACCATCAGCACCGGGTTCGGTGCAGGACGCTCTGGTGGCCCTCACGGTTGAGGAGCCAGTACCTACCCCAAGGCCATTCTCCCTGGCGGGTGAGGACCTCCCCCGGTGGTCCAGTCATTCTCCTCCTCTCCAGATGAGGCAGTGGCGGGCCCCTCCAGAGCTAGCCCACCGGACGATTTCAAGGAGCATCAGGCGGTGCTCCGTAGGGTGGCTTTGAACTTGGGCCTCAAGGCAGAGGAAATGAAGGAGCAGACGGGGACATTGTTTAATGTGCTCTCTGCAGCCACCCCAGCCCTCGCACTCATGGTGCATGAGGGGGTCCTGAACATTGCCAAGTCCATCTGGCAAACCCCGTCCTCTATTCCACCCATGTCCAAGAGAGCGGAGAAAAAAATACTTGGTCCCTGTGAAAGAGTTAGAGTACTTATACACCCACCCGCCACTGGGATTGTTGGTCGTGTCTGCAGTCAATGAGAGGGATAAGCAGGGCCCCACCAGTTCCACCCCTAAAAATAGAGGCCAAGGGACTGGACTTGTTTGGCTGCAAGATTTATTCTATGGCCAGCCTCCAGTTTCAGGAGGCTAACCATCAGGCCCTCTTGGGTTGCTATAATTTTAACTTGTGGGACTCTCTCCTCAAGTTCAAAGACTCCATGTCCCAGGAAGCGGTCCAGGAGTTTGCAACCCTGGTGGAGGAGGGTACATGGTGGCTCGGTGCTCCCTCCAAATGGCCTGGGATATGGCTGATTCAACTGCCTCGGTGGTCGTCTCCGTGGTGATTGAGGCACAGTTCCTGGCTCCAGATCGCAGGCCTGTCCCGGGAGGTGCAGGCCTCTATTCAGGACCTCACATTTGATGGTATTGGCCTTTTCTCCGACCAGATGGATATGCGGCTGCACGGCCTTAAGGACACACTGGTGAGACTCCGCTCTCTGAGGATACACACTCCTCAGGCGTCGAGGCAGCCGTTCCAGCGTCCTTCGCCACCTCAACAGTAGTAGCCTCGTCAAGGGCCTGAAAAGAAACAGGACACTGGGTTTAGCTGCTGCCGCCGCCGCCCATGGGCATCGTCCTGCTCTCCTGCACAGCCTGGCCCAGCGAAGCACTAAGGGGGCCAGAAACACTCATTTTGAGGGTGCGCCCGGGAGCGACACACCAGCCATCGGCCCGGATCCTTCCCGCAGCTTTCCTCAGCCGCCTTTTCCCTTACTGTTTGGCCTGGTCCAGTGTTACATTGGATTGTTGGGTCCTGAACATAGTCGCTCAGGGCTATAACCTGCTATTACATCAACAGGCAGGGTGGTGCCAGGTCTCTGACCCTTTGGGAAGCGCCCAGCCTCTGGGACTTTTGTGTGTGGCACAACATTCACCTGGTGGTTGCCCACCTGCCGGGAGCCAAGAACGTTCTAGCAGATTGCCTCAGCAGGACCTTCTCGTCTCAACACGAATGGTGGCTCCATCCGGAGGTGGTCAGCCTAATCTTCCGCAAGTGGGGGATACCCCAGGTGGACTTGTTCACATCCCGGCAGAACAGGAAGTGCCATGTGTTCTGCTGTCTTCAGGGCAGGGACAAGTGCTCCCTGTTGTATGATTCCTGATTTCGTGGTCAGGAGCGGTGATGTATGCCTGCCCACCGGTGCCCTTGATCCACAGGGCCCTGGTAAAGGTGAAGCAAGGCAAAGCCATTGTCATCCTTGTGGCCCCATCAACTCAGGTTCAGCAGCATGCCGAACCAGTCGGTAGCCACCCCCCCTGCAGCTGCCTCTTAGACCGGATCTGCTGTTCCAGAACGATGTCAATTTGCTGCACCTGAACCTGATGGTGCTGCACTTGACAGCCTGGCTGTGCGTGGCTGAGTGGAGAGGAGCAACAATGTTCTGCTGGTGTCCAGAAAGTCCTGCTGGACAGCAGGAAGCCTTCTACCCAAGCCACCTATGTGGCAAAGTGGAAGCGATTTACGTGTTGGGCCTCGGATTGTCACATCCGTGCGGAAGAGACCCCCGCTGCAGGACGTCTTGGACTATTTGCTGCACCTTAAGCTCCAGGGCCTATTGCTGTCTTCAATCACGGTGCACCTGGTGGCCATTTTGGCGTTCCATCCTCTGTTTCAAGGCAGGTCGATCTTTGCCCACCCTATGATGGTGCGGATTCTGAAAGGTCCGGAGCGCCTTTACCTGCATGTCCGGGACCCCATTGGGACCTGAATCTTGTACGGTCAAGGCTCATGGGTCTCTTTCCACCAAGTAAATGACAGATTCAAAAGGGAAGATGCCCTTCTGCTACCGTGGCGGGATCACCTCAGGTATGCCTTCACTCCAATCCCATTAATACCACAGGTCCTACAGAAAATTCATCACAACAGAACTTGAGTGCACAGGCCCAGACATGCAGCTCTTGTGACATCCCCTGCCACACCTCACTATAACCCTCAATCAGAAAACTTCTTTTGCTGGGATTGTTGAGACCACATTCCTTTGATGCCACATTATCTCTTCCCCTCCCCCCTCATTTTTTTTGTAGGCCACCTTATCCAGTGTGCCTACAACTGGAGGGCCCTACCAACTAACAGATGAGCACTGGAAACTACTAATTGCAGCTATCTGATCAAGTTTTAATCAACTCTTACACACAAATCCCCTTTCCGGTTCCTTTTTCATGGACCAATCTCATGAGGAAATTCTCAGTCAAGAAGTGAACTCCTTTCTCCATCATGTAGCCATAAAAAAGGTTCCACCTCAACATCAGGGGAAAGGATTCTGCTCCCCATACTTAGCTACCCAAAAGGACAGAGGCAGGCCCATCATTGACTACACTAAGTATATTCATCCAAAAACTATAATTCTGCATGGTTACATTGGTATCAGAATTCCTTCTCTGGAAGAGGGCACACAGTTCTCAGCTCTCGAACCGAAAGGCTCATACTTCCACAAAGGCATTTACCCATCCCACAGAAGGCTCCTCAGGTTCCTCTTCAGTCAAGACCGATACCTATTCAGGGTCCTTTCATTTGGGCTAGCCACAGCACCAGGGTCTTTACAAAAGTTTTTTCAGAGGTGGCAGCTTGGATGAGAAGAAATGGGTTGGGTTCACCTTCTTCCTATAACTTGACTACTGGCTCCTAATTGGTACATCATGTGAAGAAGTCCAGTTGGCAACCCATTTCCTGTTTTACCTACTTCCTTCTCTAGAAGTTTGCATCATCAATGAGAAGTCCATGTTGGTCATCCCCCATAAGGTTCATAAACTTCATAGGAATGACTTAGGCGCTTTCTGTGGTTGATTCCTCTACCGATTGAGAGATTCCATGTCATGGGTGCTCTCGTAAACAAGGTCATCCATAGGGCCCTGAGATAACTAGCCGATTGCCCTACTCGCTCAGGGGTTAGGTCTCCATCCCCTGGCAAACCTAGTTTAAAGCCCTCCTCACTAGGTTAGCCAGCCTGCCTGCGAAGATGCTCTTCCCTCTCTTCGTTAGGTGGATCCTATCTCTTCCTAGCAATCCTTCTACCTGGAACAGGAACCTCCATTTCCTACATTAATACTAAGCGTAAACCAGACTAGTATGAAGGAAGCAGTACCACTTAGTGGGGAAAGTGGACTGGAGCTCAAATCTGGGGTCCGTTCCCAACTATGTCACAAGTTCAATGTGTGGCTGAGCACATATCTTAATCTCCTGAGCAAAATAAGGATACTGCCTACCTTTGTAAAGTATTGTGAGATCTTTACTTAAAGCCAAAATACTTAAACCAAAGTGTTTTGGTTTTATTTGCAAAGACGCTTTATTTATTGGATAGTCAGAACTGACTGAAACTTCCCCAGGTCACAACATCCCTTTGCGTTCAAAACACTGACCGCTGACTTAATCAACCTAAACTTTCATATATACTTTGGAAACTTGTTCCCCGACTCCCTTTCTCTTTGCCTCTCTTATGGTGACGCTTGTGATGTTCAGATACATTATCTTCCTGATAAAGAAACACAAAAAGTACTGCTACTTTCAGATTAGCCGAGAGATATAAAAATAGCAAATTTATATCAGACTGATACCCTGTCATCTTCATGAAAGAGCTGCTTTAGCTACATTTGGAAATTTTAACAAGAAAAAAAATTTTTTTTTTTTTTTTTTTTTTTTTTTTTAAATCTCTGGTACAAACATTAATGGTGGCAGGAAGTCAGTAAATACCTAGTATCAGAGGGGTAGCCGTGTTAGTCTGGATCTGTAAAAAGCAACAGAGTCTCCTGTGGCGGCACCTTTAAGACTAACAGATGTATTGGAGCATAAGCTTTCGTGGGTGAATACCCACGAATGTACATGTGTCTGACGAAGTGGGTATTCACCCACGAAAGCTTATGCTCCAATACATCTGTTAGTCTTAAAGGTGCCACAGGACTCTCAGTAAATACCTATGTTGGCTTCTAAGCAGAGTGTGGCAGTGAAACATCTTAACTTGTTCTGGAGTGAGGATGTTGTTTCACTGTATACCAATGAAAAGATAAACCCCGAACAGAACTTGAATCCACTATTTCATGCTGAAGTCAGCATCTTGCCCTCTAAACCAGTGGTTCTCAAACTTATTTGAGCCCCGCTTCTTTGTGTCTGTAGTCGCTTATGGCTTCCCACCCCCAAGTACATATACCGCCACTCAGCTCTGAAGGCAGAGCATTGGCTGCTGGCTGAGCGCCCTGCTCTGAAGGCAGCACTGCGCCAGCAGCAGCATAGCAGTGTCAGGGAGTCAACAGGATACTTAGCACCCCATTGCTACCCTTACTTCTGCGCTGCTGCTGCTGCGGCAGGGCTGACAGCCAGAGTCCTGTCACCTCCAGCTGAGGGATTTGGGGGCTGGGGTGGGAGGAGTGCCTGAGTTCAGGCATTATCCCCACTTCCTGGATGTGCACCGCCCTTATGCATGAGCCCCAGCCACCTGGGGCTGACAGCCACCGCTCTTCACAAAAGAAATAAAAAAGCACACAGCTCACGCCTCCCTTGGGAGGCCTGCCTCATAGTTTGAGAACCGCTGCTCTAGACTAATTGGGTTCATGCAGGTTGACTATTTGAATCAGTGACCAGTAAATATTAGATTTACTAAAGGTAAAAATGTTTGCATACCTTGTCACCCTTTGCTTTTGTCACTGGATCCATGTCACACTTCTAACTGGAGAGTTGCATACTGCTTTCTCCAGAACTTATCCACTGATTGGCTGGAGACTCAATAATGAAAAATGGGCTGAGTGTAAAGATCAATCCAAAAGTGAGACCAGTTGTGAAATTGACACTTTTAACAAACGCTTAAGCTGCTTATATGCAATTTTCGTAACCCTTATTTAGGATTTTTCGTGTTCAAAGCACTTACAAAATAACTGGCTAATGTTTGTGTAAAATAAAATTAAACTTAGTCCTAAACAATTTCTTCTTTTGAATGAGGATAACATGTAGAGTAATTACATAGCATTTATGATGAAATTTTAGTCAATAGGCTAAATTTCATGTACTTATATTAACTTGTAGTGCTGTATATCCTAGGTGTTCTGTTATGCCCTCAGCCCTGATGATGGGACAAACTTCCGTGTAAAGGTGATGGCGGAAGCAAATCATTTCATTGACCTCTCTCAGGTGAGCTTTCATTCTTTTGAATTTGCAGCATGTTTTTCAGAAATGGAGATCTCAACCTGTGGTTAAGGATTCTGGCCACAGTGAATTTCTTGGAGCACAAATTATGCTCACAGGTAATGGTAAGAGTGATCTTCAGAATTCTTGAGTTTGTGGTAGTGTATGTTAGCAGTTTCATCGTTATGGAGGGAATCGATGGGCATCATGTGAACTTTGAGTGTGACTATTGGAATTTTATTAATGTGGGTGTCTGGTTGTGGATTAAAACGATAGTCATGCACATAGCCTAAGTTGGTCAAGGAGACTTGCTACAGTGGCTGAATATTTTGGGCTTGATTCTTGGATACATTAAGGCTGCTGTATGCTACTCAAACAATAATAAAGCAACCATGGCGTAGCAGGTTGGTGAAAGATTCCACCTGCATAATGGAATAACTGAGAGATTTAGTCACTGGAGCCGCTTCTACCTCCATCACCTCTTTGGATCAAAGGTATGTGGCAAAGGTTTTAGTACATCCTAAATGATCCTCAGATGCAGAAACAGTGCCTGGGGTCCAAGGATGGCTGGCATAAATTAGGGCAGTCCTGCAAATCCTCTAGCACTCAGTGCTTTTTTTGGCCTCTGTCTTCAGGAACAAGGTTAGCTCCCAGACTGCTGCACTGGGCAGCACAGCATGGGGAGGTGGTGACCAGCCCTCTGTGGAGAAAGAAGTGGTTCAGGACTATTTAGAAAAGCTGGATGAGCACAAGTCCGTGGGGCCGGATGCACTGCATCCGAGGGTGCTAAAGGAGTTGGCAGATGTGATTGCAGAGCCATTGGCCATTATCTTTGAAAACTCACGGCGATCGGGGAGGTCCCGGATGACTGGAAAAAGGCTAATGTAGTGCCCATCTTTAAAAAAGGGAAGGAGGAGGATCTGGGGAACTACAGGCCAGTCAGCCTTACCTCAGTCCCTGGAAAAACCATGGAGCATGTCATCAAGGAATCAATTCTGAAGCACTTAGAGGAGAGGAAAGTGATCAGGAACAGTCAGCATGGATTCACCAAGGGCAAGTCATGCCTGACTAACCTAATTGCCTTCTATGACGAGATAACTGGCTCTGTGGATGAGGGGAAAGCAGTGGACGTGATATACCTTGACTTTAGCAAAGCTTTTGATACGGTCTCCCACAACATTCTTGCCAGCAAGTTAAAGAAGTATGGGCTGGATGAATGTCCCACTGTCAGACATATGCAAGGCAGCTACCTGGGCATCGAACCTTACCTTCGCCAATCACTACGCTCTCATCCACACTGCAGCGTCTGACACCAGATTGGGTAGAGCTGTCTTGTCAACAGCCTTCTTGCCTCATCTGAAGTCCCTACCATCCTAAGGGATGCTGCTTTTCAGTCACCTGAAGTGGAGCACCCACAGGGACATCTCTCGAAGAAGAGGAGGTTACTCACCCTGTGCAGTAACTGACGTTCTTCGAGATGAGTGTCCCTGTGGGTGCTCCACTACCCGCCCTCCTCCCCTTTACTTCGGAATTTGTAACACACTCCGTTGTAGAGAAGAAACTGAGGAGCCCGGGCTGTACACGTGCTATTAGAACACTGACAGCTCGAGAAAAAGGCACAGCACGTGCGTAGCCCGTAGGGGTACTGCTGTAGAAATCTCTAATCGAAGGCGCTGGGATGCACCTAAACCTGAAGTGGAGCACCCACAGGGACACTCATCTCAAAGAACATCAGTTACTGCACAGGGTGAGTAACCTCCTCATCTTGGAATCTGAGTTTGTCTGCATCTTCCACACCATAGCTATTTGGCCTTGTAGCAGGGTCCTTCTCGCCATTTGGCATCTGGGGGTTTAAAAATAAATAAACCTTCTGAGAGCTGCTCTCTCTCCTGCCTAGACTGGTAGCAATAGTTGCCGCAGTGAGCCCTCCATTGGTCAATATTCCTGACCTCCTGTCTGGTTCAGAGGAGGCAGACTGTGTAGGAGATTTGCAAGAATCCTCTCCTGGCCTGCAAGAAGGGCTTGTCTGTGTTGCCACCTAATGTTTTTGACTGTTCCAAGAGTTGCTAGGTTATATGCCAGAGGCTTAGGCATTGAAGAGTTTGACCTACCAGGACAAGATGTTGCACCTGTTGTTCAACATAGAATCATAGATGTGTAGGGATGGAAGGACCTCAAGAGGTCATGAACTACCCTTATAGTTAAAACTTTTCCTAATATCTAACCTAAATCTCCCTTGATGAAAATTATGCCCTTTACTATTTGTCCTGCCTACAGTAGATATGGATTACTGTCCTCTTTCTAAGGCCATATCTACACTACATAGTTAAGTTGATTTTATTTAAGTCGACACTGAGCCACTGATTTAAGCAAGTTGATCTTGTGTGTCCACACAACACTCATTGTGTCGGCAGTGTGCATCCTCACTAGCAGGGCTTGCATCGACACACCAAGCACTGCACTGTGGGTAGCTATCCCACAGTGCATGTAGCAGAGTGGAATTTTGGGTTGGGCTTGCAGTGCCTCATGGGACCAAAACATTGATGTGGGTGACTATGGGAACATGGTGTTAGCCTCCCATGATGCACTTACCTCCCTCCATCCCTCTCTCCCTGAAATTAATGGCAAACAAACCAAACCTTTTTTGTGCCTCTCTTCATAATCCTGGGTTACCTGTGCAGACGTCATAGCACGATAAGCGTGGACCCCGTTCAGCTGTACACTGTTGTGAGCATTACAAACATCTCGCACCTTCTTCTGCAGTATTTACATAGCCGATACGGGAGCCGCCGCACGGAACGGTGTAATGCCACGCAAGTAACCCTGCTGGAAGATGTAGAGCAGAGCAATTTGCAGTTGTTGGCGACAGTCACGCATCACCTTGACACGGTTGAGTGCCATTTCTGGGCCCAGGAAACAAGTACTGAATGATGAGACTGCATCATTATGCAACTATGGGATGACCAGCAATGGCTGCAGAACTTTTGAATGCGTAAGGCCACTTTCCAGGAACTGTGTGAAGAGCTTTCCCCAGCCCTGAAGCGCAGCAATACTAAAATGAGAGCTGCTCTAATAGTGGAGAAGTGAGTGGTGATAGCTCTGTGGAAGCTTGCAATACCAGACTGCTACTCATCAATGGGGCATCAGTTTGAAGTGGGTAAATCTACCGTGGGATCTGTTGTGATCCAAGTTTGCAGGGCCATCGACAGACTTGTGCTAAGACGGGTAGTGACACTCATCAACGTGCAGGACATAATGGATGGTTTTGCCACAATGGGGTTCCCTAACTGTGGTGGGGCGATAGACGGAACACATATCCCTATGTTGGCACAAGACCACCTTGCCAAAGAGTACATAAACCAAAAGGAGTACTTCTCAATGGTGTTGCAAGCACTGGTGGATCACAAGGGCCGTTTCACCGACATCAACGTGGGATGGTCGGGAAAGGTTAATGATGCGTGCATCTTTAGGAACACATGTCTGTTCAGAAAGCTGCAAGCAGGGACTTCCTTTCCAGACTGCAAAATAGCCATTGATGATGTTGAAATGCCAATCGTGATCCTGGGAGACCCAGCCTACCCCTTGTTCCCATGGCTCATGAAGCCGTACACAGGCAGCCTGGACAGCAGTAAGGACCAGCTCAACCATAGGCTGAGCAGGTGCGGAACGGTGGTGGAATGTGCCTTTGGACATTTAAAAGTTTGCTGGCATTGTTTGCTTCCTAGGTTAGACCTTCGTGAAAGCAATATCCCCATTGTTATTGCTGCCTGCTGTGTGCTCCATAATATCAGTGAAACGGAGAAAAATTTCTGCTGGGGTGGAGGGTTGAGGCAGATTGCCTGGCAGCCAATTTTGATCAGCCAGACACCAGGGCCAAAAAAGGGGCTCTGTGTTTCCATGAGGCTTTGAAAACCAGTTTCAGCAATGAGTCAGAGTAGGGGGGAGGGATAGCTCAGTGGTTTGAGCATTGGCCTGCTAAACCTAGGATTGTGAGTTCAATCCTTGAGGGGGCCATTTAGGGATCTAGGGCAAAATCAGTACTTGGTCCTGCTAGTGAAGGCAGGGGGCTGGACTTGATGACCTTTCAAGGTCCCTTCCAGTTCTATAAGATAGGTATATCTCCATATAGTGTGACGCTTATCTGTGTTGCTCCTTACCAAACTGTCCCCTCCATTGCATTTTCTTCCCTGTAAACTCCACCCCCACCAACCACCGTGTGTTGAATGAATAAAGAGCCTTTTCTCCTCAATCCATTTAAGTTTTATTATGCACACAAACACACAGAAACAGCAAAGAAAAGTAAGATAACCTGGGGCAAAAGGGCTAACACTGGGGGACGGGGAGAAAAACAAGAAAAGCTTACTTATAGATGCACTGCAATAACAATCAAAGGTGTGGAAACGGGTGTCCTCTGGTCCTTTTACCCTCCTCTGGTGTTGAGTGCAAGGGATACTGAACCCCCCCCACCCCAGCCTTATAGGAGGTTTGGGGGAAGAGGTTGTAGAACTGGGCAACGATGACAGCAGGTTCAGCATAGGCTGCAGTTACTCTAGCATTCAGCTGCCTTTCTTGAACCTCAACCAGACTGCTCAACACGTCTGATTGCTCCTTCATAATCCCCAGCATCTCTTCCTGCGCAGCACATTCTTGTTCCCTGTATGCTCTCCTGTCCTCCCTGTCCATCTCCAGGTTCTCGGACAGTGTAATCCTCCATGCCCTAACTGATCTTTAATTCCCCGGGTCCTCTTTGTGCGCCTTTTTAAAGATAAGTACTGTTTTGCCTGTCTCCAGTCCTCTGGGACCTCATCTGTCCTCTGAGTTCTCAAAGATAATTGCTGTTAGTTTTGAGACTGCTTCAGCTAGCTCCTTAAGTATCTAGGATGAATTTCCTCAGGCCTTGCTGACTTGTATTTAACTTACCTAAATATTCTTTAACCTGTTCTTCCCCTATTTTGGCTTGCATTCCTTCCCCCTTGATAATATTTTGTTGAGTTTCTGGTCACCATTTCACTTTTTAGTGAAGACTGAAGCAAAATAGGCATTAAATACCTCAGTCGTTTTGATATCATCCGTTATTAGCTCTCCTTTCTCTCTAAGTAGAGGACCTACAGTTTCCCTTTGTCTCTCTTGCTCTGAATATATTTAAAGTGCCTCTTTTTATTGCCTTTTGTCCCTTGTAAGGTATAACTCATTTTGTGCCTTAGCCTTTCTGGTTTTATCCTTTCATGCTTGTGCTATTCTTTTGTATGCCTTAGCAATTTGTCCATGTTTCCAGTTTTTGTAAGATTCCTGTTTGATTTTGGGGTAATTAAAGAGCTCCTGATGGAGCCATATTCACCTCCTACTGTTCTTCCTGTCTTTCCTTTTCATCAGGATAGCTTGCTGTTATGCCTTTAATACTATCTCCTTGAGCAACTGCCAGCTCTCCTGAATGCCTTTATCCCTTAGATTTTCTTCCCACAGGCCCTTATCTACCAATTCTGAGTTTTAGTCTGCTTTTTTGATGTCCGTTGACCTTATTCTGCTGCTCTCTCCTTCCTTTCCTCAAAATTGTGAAATCATTAGAGCTGTAAGTGACTGCCTCTAGCTCTCTGGTCCTGCTATCATACCAAATGTCTGAATGAACTTGGACATGCTTGCCTTCTGAGTATTTTTTTCAGGGTTAAATGAGTGACTGTTGTCAGTCATAGCATCTTTATTTGAGGGAGATGGATATGGGAAACTTGAGCTAGCTGTAAATTTAATCTGAACGATATAGTGCTGTTTAAAGTTTTTCTATATTTTAAACTTGTTGGTGTGCTGACCTCTAATCTTGCTTTTGGCCTTTCAGTGATAAAGTAAGAATAATTAATGTTTGCTCTTGATTCTTGTATTTTAGATACCATGTAATGGAAAGGCAGCAGATCGCATTCACCAGGATGGGATACACATCCTCATTAACATGAATGGCTACACTAAGGGAGCCCGTAATGAGCTGTTTGCTCTCAGACCAGCACCTATCCAGGTAAAGGAATTAAACAGTGTTTGGAGAGCTCTGTCTGATGTAAGATCAATGCTCAACATTGTCATAGAACAGGCTGGTTTCTCTCTTCCCTTTTAAGTTGGGAGTGCTGTGGAAGTGGCATGCTGATCCATATTGGACAGGAAGAAAGTAAGCATTGCTCTGTAAGGAGTAGTGTATGAATAAAATAATTGGTTTATATACAATTAGCTCCCTTTTTCCAATATTTATATGTTGAATAATATTCCAAAGGAAAGAGTAAACATAGCTTCATGGTTCCTGAGCGTGCTAGCTTCTCGTTCTGATGAGAGCAGATATTGTAAGCAGTGTGGTCAGTCATGCTGTTTGGAACGAGGCCTCAGCTTTGAATCTTTGCAGGAAGGATACGACTAGGAGAAACCAGAGCTGCCTCTGGGGAATTTATTTCCATGAAGAAGAATAATTCTGTACAGGTTGAGTACATGATTGCATAAGCACAGTATTTTTTGGTAACATAGCATCAGATAATGCTGTAAATACTGCTGAACTAGGTGCGGTTTGAACATGCTGTGGTATACTGACACCAGTGTCCTTACAGTGCATATATGCAAACATGCCATGTTCAAATTAAAATAACTCAATACCAACACATAGTGGAAGATTAATGCTACTAAGAGGAAACCCTGGATGATGGAAATACCCAAGGTAGTGACATTTTAAATATATAGGTGAGCTGAAACTGTTAGATACACCTTTAATCTGTTGTAGATGAGCTACATTTTAAGTTAGTGATCTCAAGCCATGTTATAAAATTCTATAAAGCAAATTTATTTTATTCTGCCATACAAAAATGTTAGAGCAGTTTACTGTTATCAATATGTGGATACTTGCAGGATCTGCATTACTGTAATATCCTGATGCCTCTCATCGTTAATGGATTTTATCCTCAATACTCCTGGTAGGCAGGGATATTTCATTTTATAGATAAGGAATGGAGAGACAGGGCAGGGCACATCAGGATGTTGTTGTGGAACTGGGAATTGAACTATGGTCTCAAGTGTGAGTTCAGTATCCTATGTGCTAGGCCATCTTTCCATCCTTTATTGATGCTGTATTGTTGGATAATAGTGTCCTTGGTTTAAAATGCACACTGGATTGATTGAGTTATTTGAACTCATTCTGCACTTGGAGGCTTTCCGTGGCCAACATAGAACTGCCGTTTCCAAAGTTTTTCTGAAAAAATACTGGAAAAATGTAAGTAGCAAGAGAGAGCTGTCAGGTTTGTGATTATTTTACCTTGCCTTAGGTGTGCTAAAATCTCTTAGTATAGATAAGGAGACAGGGTTCCTCAGAGCACAAATATTCTTGAAGATAGTTTGGCCTGTAGACTTTTAATTCTTTAAGGGTGCTATATACACAGAATTCTCACTCCTGGGTCTCTGCCTCCAATATGAGACTAGGGAGTCCTAAAGCTAAACAGTCTTGGACTGTTGCAGCATGCACACACATCGGCAGGTAAGATATTCTTGCCTTGCAGCATGAGTGGTACTTCTCATTAGCAGGGCCCTACAAATTCACAGTCCATTTTGGTCAATTTCATGGTCATAGGATTTTAAAAATCATAAATTTAATGATTTCAGCTATTTAAATCTAAAATTTCTCAGTGTTGTAATTGTAGGGGTCCTGACCCAAAAAGGAGGGTTTTTTGCGGGGGGTGGTGGGGGTGTCACAAGGTTATTGAAGGGGGGGTTGCGGTACTGCTATCCTTACTTCTGTGCTGCTGGTGGCAGCAGTGCTGCCTTCAGATCTGGGCAGCTGGAGAGGTGTCACAAGCAGCAGCACAGAAGTAAGGATGGCATGGTATGGTATTACCTCCCTTACTTTTGCACTGCTGCTAGTGGGGCACTGCCTTCAGAGCTGGGTGCCCAGCCAACAGCCGCCCCACTCTGAAGGCAGCGCAGAAGTAAGGGTGGCAATACCATGACCTCCCTAAAATAACATTGCGACCCCCCCTTACAACTCACTTTTGGGTCAGGACCCCAATTTGAAAAACGCTGAAATCTGTATAGTATAGGGTAAAAGCACACAAGACCAGATTTCACGGAAGGAAACCAGAATTCACGGTCCGTGATTCGTTTTTCATGTCCGTGAATTTGTAGGGCCCTACTCATTAATGCTTTAATTTCTATTTTTTGCTACAGATAGTTGAGCAGCTCCTGATTGCTCCTGAGCTAGCTAGTGAGCGTGCTGGTGGTGATGGATTAATCTTGGTTTCCTCAGGATTTTAAATCCGTGTTTCATCTAGTCTTTCTGTAGGTTAAAATAAAAATAAATGAAATACGCTGGTAGCAAAGAGGCACCACAAATCAGGAACATGTTCAGTGGTATTGTGGAATGCCATACCGAGGAATTCTTGTGGTCAGTCACCTGAGTAGTGACTTGCTCTGATGCATAATCAAATCTGTGGTCCTAATGTCTTCTCTGACCTTTTGATACCAGTTGATGTGCGAAAGAAGAGAGCTGCCCCTCTTACCCATCCATTTCAGAGCCTTGCTAAGTGGGATAGATAGGTTCTCAGGTTGGTGCCCATCACCATGGCATCTGTACATCTCCAAGAGTAAGAACAACAATCTGCCTTTTGCCAGTAGGGAAGGAAGACCTAGATTTTTGTTACTCATCTGAGCATAAGTGTGTGTAAGTGTACTGGTTACAGAAATGCTTCTGCAAAACAATGGGAGTAGTCTTATTTACTAGATGCTGACTTGGGTGTCTGACGCCTTGTATCCTATAAAGCAGATCTTAATCAGTTGAGTCGTCAGGGGTAGACGTTTCAATTTGTTGGTCTGAGAAAAGGATAGTGTAAGCCAAACACCACCTTGAAGAATATCCTTCTGTGAGGTTCTTGAAGCAGTGCAAATGCTGTTCTGTTAGACGTTTTGGACTTGCGGGTTCTGCGCTGCTGTACTGTTTCAGCTGTATGTGAAAACTGTCTTTCAAAAGAGCTGACCAACCCAAAGAAGTAAAATGATTTAGGGGTTTCCATTTAATTTTGGGCTCATGCACTCTTACCATCTCACCTCCATTTAACTAGTAGTGGTTGTGAACCCTTTCCTCTTTGCAGGGATCCTTTTGGGGCTGCATCCCTCTTGGATGTTAAGGAAACCCTGTGCGCCTAGCTCCTCTTCTCTACCTGGGGAAATCTGCTCTTTATTTCCCCTCCCCTCTGGAGAAAGCAGAAGTGGCTCGAGCCTTTCCTCACACAACAAAAAAGCAGCATCTCCTAACTCTCTGCTCTTGACTATTCCCCTTCCGTTATAGACTCCTACCCCACCCCCACATATCTCCAGAGCAGGAACCAGTGGCTTCCTGGCCCTGCCTGTGTGGATGAAATGTCTGTTTTTAACACCCTGCTGAATGCAGTGGGACAAATCCAACCTATCCTGTCGTATAGTACACTAATCAAAAGAGGAAGAGACTAAGGGTAAAAAATTTTAAAGCACCTTATGTCCTTTTGACTTTCAATGAGACTTTGGTTCATAAATCACATGAGCAGTATGGAGAATTACCTTAAATCGCGACAAGGGGCAGAGAAACTTGAGGACCGTTTAATTCCAGTTCACAGCAGTCTCCAAACAGGTGAAAGAAACTGAGGTGACTGGTTAATACCCAACTTTATAACTGTGTATAGCTGGCCCTGTGTGCTTGATAGATTTCTGGCCATAGTTGTCACAGGTTTTTTGTTTGTTTGTTTACTTGTTCATTATTCCGATGATTGGTGATAATTCTCTCATTTTGTCGGGTGTCAGCCATTTGAGAATCCTTGAGAACCTTGGTAGAGAGATGCTGAATCAGAGCAGGTTATACAGTTGCACATGTGGTTTGTCCATACTTGAGATTAAAATCTGTTGCTTTTTGGCTTGGCTTGTAGGCTATGTGGCTGGGATACCCTGGAACCAGTGGGGCACTGTTCATGGATTATATCATCACAGATCAAGAAACTTCCCCAGTTGATGTGGCAGAGCAATATTCTGAGAAACTGGCTTACATGCCAAACACTTTCTTTATTGGAGACCATGCTAATATGTTTCCCCACCTGAAGGTAAGAGAGAGTGATGGAAAGGAAAGCCGATAGTAATGATTGTCTAGTGGGGACTAGCACTTCTCTGGGAATTTATATTCAGTACAGTAATTTGGCAATGGAATGTTGTAAATTGAAACTTGTTTTTCTTGATCCACAGAAAAAAGCAGTCATTGATTTCAAGTCCAATGGCCATATTTATGATAACAGGATTGTTTTGAATGGCATTGATTTGAAGGCATTCCTTGACAGCCTCCCTGATGTCAAAATTGTTAAGGTGAGAACTCCACTTCTGTGCACTCTGCCTTAGGAGACTGAACGCAGCATTTTCTCACTGATTAATCTTGCATGATTTCTTAGATGAAGTGCCCTGATAGTGGAGACAATGCAGACAGCAATGCTGCCCTCAGTATGCCAGTCATTCCTATGAATACAATTGCAGAAGCCGTGATTGAGATGATTAATCGTGGACAAATTCAGATAACAATCAATGGATTCAACATTAGCAATGGACTAGCAACTACACAGGTGAGGCAAAGTAGGACAGAAAACTGTTTTTCTCCTCCCTCTTTATTCCCTTGTAATTTCTCTTTCCTCCATCTTGAATCAATGTTTTATTTTTTTTCTCATAATACAAATTAATCCCTTGAGTTTAAGTGATTTTGTTACTCTTTAAATTTTCTTCATTTTAGCTACCTATTGTGAAAAATGGGACAAACAGAATGCAGATTTCTGGGTCTGATCATGCCAGTGCTGTGTAGCTGGACAACTTACATGTTATGCCTCTCCATATGCAGTCCTAAATTGCATTAGTTCTTCTTATTGCCAGATCACACTGCAAGCTCATATCTAATTACCCTCTCAATCTTCCCACTTAAACTGCTTTAGGCATTGCCATACAGCTGTCTTAATTTGCATTTGTTCAGATGTAATGTTATTCTGCCCATATTTCTAAAGTCTCTGGGTTCCATTATGTCTTCAGAACACTTCCGAATTACCATCATGTGTGAATTTTCTTAAGTCTTCCAAGTGATTAAAGATGTAATATGACTGGATGTAATTAATTGAAGCACCCCACTAGATAAACCTTAACTCAATACATAATTTTCTTATTTGTTTATGGCCCTCTAATCCGTCTGCACTATGCATGACCATGTCTTATTAAAGCTGGTTCTTTTAAGTGCTGATCCTGTGCTTATTGCTGTACAAGACCAATGTACATATGGTCCTTGCCCCAAGGAATTGACTATCTAAAACAGATAAGAAACTGGAGGAGCTACAAGAGATTGCAAGATAGTGTATTTAAAATTTTTAATTTTAAGTGGCCTCTGCACATTCCCACACTTGGGATATGTTGGTGGTGTAGCTTGGACTGATAGAACCTTCTAATAGCAATGTCTAGTGGAACATGTTCGTGCCTTCAGAGCCATAAGGGAAGGAGCAGAACATTTGAAGAGTGGGACTATGAAAGGGGTTGTGGCACATTGTCCACCTCAGTTCCTTCTAACCCTGGTAACAGATGGATCAGTAACCTAGCTGGGTCCTTGGACCCACATTTGCACAAATGCATCATTCCTGGGGGTCAGTGCTGCCTTATTTTGCTTAGTTATTTTCTTGTTTTTTTAACAAAAGACCCTGGCAAATGTCATTAGTTCTGACACATATTGGAATCATAGATGGAGAAACCATGGTTCAAGAGAGATGCCTCTTGCTCTGCTGCTTCTCCTAATACAAATGCATATGTGCATTGTTTGGCTTCCTTTGAGGAAGGTCATTTGCCTTCTCATTGTTCCATATGCAGCACCTTCTCACTCTGGGCCAGAAATGAGCATCAGAATCTTCTCCAAGCAATGTCATTGCAGGAAGCATTAGTGGCTAAACCTTCTGGTTCCAAAACACTGTGATAAGCCAGTACTTGAAGAACAGCCTCAGCTTAGACCCCTGATGGGATTAAAAAGCCCAGTAATGTCCCATTTCAGGCATTTGTGTGTGTGCCTGGAACAAAACCTAAGGTCCTTGTCACTGTGATATATAAAGATTAGATCCAACCAAACATGCTTTAAAATCAGCTGGTCTGGATAACTTGCATCCAAGAGTTTAAAAATTGCTGGCTGAAGAGCTTGCTGGACCATAATGTTGATTTCCTCTTCCCCCCTCCCCCCCCCCACCCCAAGTGGTGGAACACTGGAGAAATTCTAGAAGACTGGAAGGAAGCCAAGTTTGTGCTGATATTTAAAAAGGGTAAAGTGGATAACCCAGGTAGTTACAACCATGTCAGTCTGACATTAATCCCAGACAAGATAATGGAGTGGCTGATATGGGACTTAGACTTTAAGGTCAGATGGGACCATTATGATCATCTAATCTGACCTCCTACACAACGCAGGCCACAAAATCTCACCCACCCACTCCTGTGACAAACCCCTAACCTATGCCTGAGTTACTGAAGTCCTCAGATCGTGGTTTAAAGACCTCAAGGTGCAGAGAATCCTCCAGCAAGTGACCCGTGCCCCACGCTGCAGAGGAAGGCGAAAAACCTCCAGGGCCTCTGCCAATCTGCCCTGGAGGAAAATTCCTTCCTGACCCCAAATATGGCGATCAGTTAAACCCTGAGCATGTGGGCAAGACTCATCAGCCAGCACCCAGGAAAGAATTCTCTGTAGTAACTCAGATCCCACCCCATCTAACATCCCCTCACAGACCATTGGGCATATTTACCTGCTAATAATCAAAGATCAATTAATTGCCAAAATTAGGCTATCCCATCATACCAACCCCTCCATAAACTTATCAAGCTTAGTCTTGAAGCCAGATATGTCTTTTGCTCCCACTACTCCCTTTGGAAGACTGTTCCAGAACTTCACTCCTCTAATGGTTAGAAACCTTCGTCTAATTTCAAGTCTAAACTTTCTAATGTCCAGTTTATATCCATTTGTTCTTGTGTCCACATTGGTACTAAGCTTAAATAATTCCTCTCCCTCCCTGATATTTATCCCTCTGATATATTTATAAAGAGCAATAATCAAGAATTAAAGGAGGGTAATATAATTAATACCATTCAACATGGGTTTATAGAAAATAGTTTGACAGAATCTATCTTTTTTTTTTTTACTTAGATTATATTAATCTTGAAAAAGATGTTGATACAATATACTTAATCAAAATGTCAAATGCCTTACAGAAGTTTAAGAATTTAGAACAATACAAAATTAACATGGCATATATTAAATGGATTAAAAGCTGGTTAACTGATAGCTCTTAATGTAATTGTAAATGGGGGATCATCATCGAGCAGCTGCTTTTGTAAAATGGTCCTGCGGGGATCCATTCTTGGACCTGTGCTGTTTAAACTTTCATCAATGACCTGGAAGAGAACATAAAATCATAACTGATAGTTTACAGATGACACAGATTGGAGTGGTAAATAATAAAAATGATGGGCCACTGATGCGGAGTGATCTGGATTGCTAGGTAAGCTATGTGCAAGTAAACATGTTTTAATATGGCTAAATGTACACATCTAGGAACAGAGTGTAGGCAATTCTTACAGGATGAAGGACTCTATCCTAGGAAGCAGTGACTGAAAAAGATTGGGGGGTTAAGGTGGATAAACAGCTGAGTAACAGTGTGGCCAAAACAGCTAATGTGTATTTGGCACCAGTGTGAGTACTGCTGGAATATTGCATCCAGTTCCGGTATCCTCCTTGAATTGTGGATGTTGATAAATTAGCGAGGGTTCAGAGAAGAACCATGAGAATAATTAAAGCTTGGAAAATATGCCTTTATAGTGAAAGACACAAGGAGCTCAGTCTACTTATATCAACAAAGAAAAGGTTAAGGGGCAACATGATGAGTCTTTTAGTATCTATGTGGGGAACAAATATTTGATCATGGATTCTTCTGTCTAACTGACAAATGTATAGCAAGATCCAATGTCTGGAAGTTGAAGATAGACAAATTCAGACTGGAAAATAAGGTGTAAATTTTTAACAGGGTAATTATCCAGTGGAACTGTTTTAAAATCAAGATAGGATTTTTTTTTAAAGAGATGCTCTAGTTCAGAAGGAATTATTTTGGGGGAAATTCTATGGTCTTTATGATGTAGGATGTTAGACTATGAATTTGGCTTTTCATATAATTAAGTCATTGTTATGACTCATAGAAAACTCCTCAAATCCACACTTATACAGAATCTAACCACTCATGGTATGACATCTTTTCTTGGATCAGGAGAGCTAGAGTGTGTAATCAACACTCTATGTTCCAACATTTCAGACTGCAAGACCACCTTCCTAATATGGCATGAGGTCATATTAGCCTTCTCTAAGGTATTACCCTGTATTTAAAAGGGCTGAAGAAAGGCAGCCACAAAGGGAACCATCAGAAGTCTCTTGTCTGGATCAGCTACTGTGTCCACTGCTGAGGGAACAGTCTCCTTTACTTGTCAGCTGTCCAGATATAGATGCTGTCTGTCTCCCTCTTTTGTTTTTTATATGGCCCCAATCACTGTAGTATCTTAGCTCTTCAGTCTTTAATGTAGTTATTCTTACATCCCCCTCTGGGGTAAAGAGGAGCTAAGTGGCTTGCCCAGGTCACACAGGAAGTCTTTAATAGAGCAAGGAATTGAACTTGGGTCTCCCCAGTCTGAGGCTAGTGCTCTAACTGCTGGACCATCCTTCCACTCTGGATCTGAATGTTCAAACTTTGCAAGATAGCAATGTGAATTCATCATACTCCTTCCTTCCAGAAGATATACTACAATTTTATGAACTCTTAAAAGTAGGACTACTGTATTGAAGAGTGTTATGAACATACCTGTTCTTCACCCAGAAGTGTTCCAATTGGACTTGACTAAATGAGGCCATGGAGTGTCCTCTATTAATATGGCAATATATCTAATTCATAGAGCTGCCACTTAATGCTCTCTTCATATTTTCACAAAATATATTAGTTTGTGCCATCTAAAGCAGATGCACAATTTCAGGCAGTATTACCTTTTCTATTTAACTGAACCTCTTTATCCCACTGTATGGAGGTAGGAATACTACTTGTCAAACACATGAGCGTGGGAATGTGCTGAGGCCACATGAAGAAATGAAATATACTCACCTATAATTAACATTCTTTTGAGATGACCTCTGCGCACTTTCCTTCTTCCTCAGTCGTACTTTCAACTTGAGATGGTAGGAGGAGGTGGTGTTAGAAGAAACTGAGACAGTCAGCATGCCATGCCTCCTTTATAGCTTTGTCCACCAGATGTTTAGAGCTGGGAGGGGAAGGGCAGGAAGTGTGCAAGTGCTCCAGTAGGTTTTGTTCCTAGAAGGTTCCACTAATCCAAGTTGCACCATGAATACATTCCAAGTGTGTGAACATGCAGCTATTCTCTCAAAGTATTTTGGTTATGAGTGAGTAACCTTCCTTTTCCTCATATTTGACATAACTTGAATCAGCTCTTCAGGTAAGTATTCATGCTATTAAACACTTTACTGGATTATTTCATTAGGTACCCTGTGGTCTGAGTTTCAGTGCTCTAAATTAGCTGTATAGTTGAACTTTCTTATATTCTTCCTAGATTAACAACAAGGCAGCAACTGGAGAAGAGGTTCCACGTACCATCATTGTTACCACCCGCTCTCAGTATGGGTTACCAGAGGATGCTGTTGTGTACTGTAACTTTAACCAGCTATATAAGATTGACCCTTCCACTTTACAAATGTGGGCTAACGTGAGTAGTTATGTTTGCTACTAAGTCTCAGATCAGATCTCCATAATTTGACTGCTGTCTTGTTTACAGGAATGGTTTTAAAATGAGCAACAGATCTTTAACTTAAATTGCCCCTATTCAGGTCAGGGAAAGACTTCAGTTTCCTTGCCTGGTTTGTTGAGAATATTTATTTGGCATGGACCTTTTTGAATCCTTACAATACTCTCCGGAATAAGGGATTGGATAATAATGGGATTTGGAATTTCTTTGGGTCTCATTATAAATTGGATCCGAGTTGGGAGTTGAGTGAAAATTGTTACCCTTCTGACAGCTTTTTCATAGTCCATGTGTAATAAGCTGTTTAGTCCTGTCCAATTTACACCACTACAACTGGCACTTATTTCCACCATTATCTGTGCTCTTCCCTGACAAGTCAACCATTAGATGAGTACAGAGGCTGAACATCTCACTTCAGGTCAGAGTGACAGGGAATGGATCACTTGATGATTACCTGTTCTGTTCATTCCCTCTGACGCACCTAGGATTGGCCACTGTTGGAAGACAGGATACTGGGCGAGATGGACCCTTGGTCCTACCTAGTATGGCTGTTCTTATGTTGAGGCATACTGATGAGGCACTGTAAGGAAGCTTTGCACTGTTGATAAATGCAAAGTAATGCACATTGGAAAACACAGTCCCAACTATACGTATAAAATAATGGGATCTAAATTAGCTGTTACTAGTCAAGAAAGAGATCTTGGAGTCATTTTGGATAGTTCTCTGAAAACATCCACTCAATGTGTAGCGGCAGTCAAAAAAGCAAACAATGTTGGGAATCATTAAAGGATAGATAATAAGACAGAAAATATCATATTGCCTCTATATAAATCCATGGTACACCCACATCTTGAATACTGTATGCAGATGTGGTCGCCCATTCTCAAAAAATATATATTGGAATTGGAAAAGGTTCAGAAAAGAGCAACAAAAATTATTAGGGGCATGGAACAGCCGTATGAGGAGAGATTAATAAGACTGGGACTTTTCAGCTTGGAAAAGAGATGACTAAGGGGGGAATATGATAGTGGTCTATAAAATCATGACTGATGTGGAGAAAGTCAATAAGGAAGTTTATTTACTCCTCATAACACAAGAACTATGGGTCACCAAATGAAGTTAATAGGCAGCAGGTTTAAAACAAACACAAGGAAGTATTTTTTCACACAATGCACAGTGAACCTGTGGATCTCCTTGCCAGAGGACGTTGTGAAGGCCAAGACTATAACAGGGTTCAAAAATGAATTAGGTAAGTTCATGGAGGATAGGTCCATCAATGGCTATTAGCCAGGATGGGCAGAGATGGGTCCCTAGCCTCTGTTTGCCAGAAGCTGGGAATGGGCGACTGGGGATGGATCACTTGATTACCTGTTCTGTTCATTCCTTCTGGGGAACCTGGGATTGGCCACTGTCAGAAGACACAATACTGGGCTAGATGGACCTTTGGTCTGACCCAGTATGGCCGTTCTTATGCACTACTGTATAGTGCTCCTAAATTCACCTCTTCGTTTCATCTGCTGTGGGTACACACCCCTTTGTGCTGCTGTTTGTCTTATTAAAATTAACTGGCAAACATGACTTTCACCTAAACTGTGGTACAAAAGCAAAATGAGAGGTGCATGCTGTATCCACTCTGCTCTTCAGGTCATATCCCAGAAGCTAGCACAGGGGTAGGCAACCTTTCAGAAGTGGTGTGCCGAGTCTTCATTTATTCACTTTAATTTAAGGTTTCGCATGCCGGTAATACATTTTAACGTTTTTTTAGAAGGGGTCTCTCTGTAAGTGTATATTATATAACTAAACTATTGTTGTATGTTAAGTAAACAAGGTTTTCAAAATGTTTAAGAAGCTTCATTTAAAATTAAATTAAAATGCTGATCTTACGCCACCAGCCTGCTCAGCCCGCTGGGTGGGGGGTTCAGGGCAGAGGGCTGGGTGTTGGGGAGGACTCGAGGTCAGGGCAGAGGGCTGGGGTGTGTGTGGAAGTGCAGGGCACAAGGCTGGGTGGGGGGGTTCAGGGCAGAGGGGTGGGGGGTGCAGGGCAGGGGGGTGGGGTGCTCCCAGCCCCCTGCCCTGAGCGGCTCAAGGCAGGGGGCTGGGAGGGATATGACCTGTTCCACCCCCTTCCCCTAGGCCCGTCCCTACCTCTCTCTGCCTGCTCTAAGGAGCAGCGAGCACGCTGCCGCTCAGCTCTGCTCCTCTGGGGGGAGGAGGAGGGGCCGGAATGCACCACGTTGTGCAAAGAAGCAGGGGAGGAGGGAAGCTTGGCTGCCGCAGGACCAAGCTTCTGCCTCCTGCCCCCGCAGGGGAGAGCGGTGGGCAGGGGGGCTGAGTGGGGTGGGGGGCCGGGACCCCCCCACCGCTCTCCCCTGCGGGGGGAGGAGGCAGAAGCTTGATCCTGCGGCAGCCAAGCTTCCCCCTCCCCCGTTTCTTCCCACAGCGTGGTGCATTCCGGCCCCTCCGCCCCTCCTCCTCAGTGGGCAGCAGCATGCCACTCAGAATCGGCTTCTGCCGTAGGTTGCCGACCCCTGAGCTAGCACTTACTGTTTGACGCATTGTGTGACTGACTTTCACTTTCACTTTGAAAGTAAGGCATTTCACAAATCCAGCTTTTTCAGCCTTTCCTTGTAGGTCACGTTTTCTAGACCTTTAGTCCTTTTTTGTTGTTCTCTCTCGACTTCCTCTAGTTCTGCAGTTCTCAAAATTCATTACACTACGACCTCCTTCTAACAAAAAAAATTACTACATGACCTGGGAGCGGGGACTGAAGTCTGAGCCGAGGCCCAAGACCTGCCAACGGAGGATGGGGGTGCGGAAGGAGGAGCGTGAATCCCTTGGGCTTTGGCTTCAACCCCTGTCCCCAGCAAGTCTGTTGCCAACCCAGGACACCCCATTGAAATGGGGTTGCCACCCATTTTGGGTTCCCAGCCCACAGTTTGAGAACCGCTGCTCTAGTTTGTCCACCTCTAATAACCACAGTTGGGGAAAGAACTGCACACAGTACTCCAGCTAAGGCCTTATCAATCAGTGCTGAGTAGAGTGGAAGAATTTCATCTTCTGTCTTGCTTACAGCACTCCTGCTAATAGATCCCATAATGTTGTTTGCTTGTTTTGCAACAGTATTACATTGTTGACTCAAAACAAGCAAATGTCATTCTGGGATGTATTAGCGGGAGTGTTGTAAGCAAGACAAGACAGTACTGATTGATAATGCCTCAGCTGGAGTACTGTGTGCAGTTCTGGGTACCACAGTTGGGGAAAGATGTAGAGAAGTCAAGAGGGAGAGCAACAAAAAAGATTAAAGGTCTAGAAAACATGACCTACAAAGCAAGATTAAACAAACCCAATCTTTTCAATCTGGAGAATATAATACTGAGAGGGGACCTAAGTCTTCAAGTACATAAAAGGTTGTTATAAAGAGGAGCATGATAAATTGTTCTCCTTAACCACTGAGGACTGGACAAGAAGCAATGGGCTTAAATTGCAGCAAGGGAGATTTAGGTTAGACATTAGGAAAGACTTCCTAACCATCAGGGTAGTTTAAGCACCGGAACAAATTACCTAGGGAGGTTGTGGAATCTAAGACATTGGAGGCTTTCAGGAACAGGTTAAACAAACACCTCTCAGGGATAATCTAGATAGTACTTAGACCTGCCTCAGTGCAGAGGACTGGATTAAATGACCTATCTATGTCCCTTCCAGTCATACATTTCTATTATTTCCTGCCACTATTAGCTTGTTCTGATCTATCCAGGAGGGTGATGCTTCTGAATGTTGTTTTTTACACACTCACCCTTTTTCTTCCTGGTTTGGTTGTAGATTCTGAAGCGAGTTCCAAACAGCGTATTGTGGCTGTTGCGTTTCCCAGCTGTAGGAGAACCCAATATTCAACAATATGCACAGAACATGGGCCTTCCCCAGAACCGAATCATCTTCTCTCCTGTTGCCCCCAAAGAGGAACATGTGCGGAGGGGCCAGTTGGCTGATGTTTGTCTAGATACTCCACTTTGTAATGGGCACACTACTGGGATGGATGTACTCTGGGCTGGAACTCCCATGGTTACTATGCCAGGTAATGTCTCAGGGAAACAAGATTGTAGCCACATGGTGACAATTCATATTGAATGTAATTGTTATAGACCTTCAATCCTTCTTGTTTTTATTTTTATCTTGTATATGTAACTATCTAGTGTGAAGAGTTCATAGATCAGGGGTGGGGAAACTTTGGCCCAATGGGTACATTGGGGTTGCAAAACTGTATGGAGGGCTGGGTAGGGAAGGCTGTGCCTCCCCAAACAGCCTGGCCCCCGCCCCCCTCAGACTTCCCACCCATCCAACCCCCCCTGCTCCTTTCCCCTAACCGCTCCCGGGACCCCACCCCTTATCCAACCTCTGTGCTCCCAGCCCCCTGACTGCTCTGACTCCTATCCACAACCCCACCCCTTGACAGGCCCCCCGGGACCCCATGCCTATTCAACCCCCCTGCTCCCAGTCCCCTGACTGCTCTGACCCCTATCCACACCCCTGCCCCATGACAGGCCCACCGGGACTCTCATGCTTATCCAACCATGACCGCCCCCCCAGAATCTCCCCCCATTCAACTGCATCCTGCTCCCTGTCCCCTGACTGCCCCTGGGACCCCCCCGCCCCTTAGCCAACCCCCCAGCCCCCGCCCCCTTACCATGCCGCTCAGAGCAGCATGTCTGGCAGTCATGCCGCCTGGCCGAAGCCAGACATGCTGTCGCGCTGCTCGGCAGGAGCGTGCAACCCTACCGCCCAGAGCGCTGGCAGCGTGGCTGCGGGGGAGGGGCCGGGGGCTAGCCTCCCCAGCCGGGAGCTCACGGGCCATAGTTTGCCCACATCTGTCATAGATAGTAAAGAAATTAAGTGCATCCCAGTTCTAGCTAGTGGGCAGGCTTTCTAGAACAGATAATCAATGTAGCAACCTCCCCTTATGTGTTTTCTCAGGCAGGAGAAAAAAATTAAGTAAATTGTAAAGCATCAAGAAGGAGTATTGGTTATCACTTTCTTTTCTCTTTTTACAGGGGAAACTCTTGCATCACGGGTTGCTGCCTCCCAGCTTACTTGCCTTGGTTGTCTTGAACTTATTGCTAAGAGTAGACAAGAATATGAAGATATTGCTGTTAAACTGGGAACTGATCTAGAATAGTAAGTACATCTAGTTTGGAGGATGAAATGAAGATCTAGAACAGTAAGGCACCATTATTGGGGAATAGTGAGTGTTAGGAAGCAAAATGGAATAAACATAAATATAAACGGCTCTAAGCAGTGAGGCATGTCATTACTTTCGTTTTTATTGAACTTACTTTGACTGATGAAGTTACCTGCTGTTTGTTACCTTGGGAGCTGACTGACCTCCAGGGTTTTGGAGTAGCCACTAAACTGCTTTGCTGATGAGGAAGTAAGGTCTGTGCTCTTTGGAATGAGGAACTGGGCTAGAATTCATATCTGCAATGTGTTCTGAGGGAATTACCTCCTCTCCTCCTCCCTACTCTGTTGGGGGGAAGGGCCCCAGTCGCCTAATGGATAAGGCATTGGCTTTCTAAACCAGAGATTGTGGGTTCAATCCTTGAGGGGGCCATTTAGGGATCTGGGGCACAAACTAGTCCTGCTAGTAAAGGCAGGGGACTGGAGTCCATGACCTTTCAAGGTCCCTTCCAGTTCTGTGAGATAGGTATATCTCCATATATGTAAGTCCCATCTGGGGTGAAAAACTACTCTGTTGGATCTAGTATTCTCATACTGCGAAGGAGCAGAAGGGAGCAATATATGCCTTCAGTAGAGGCCAGGGTTGGAGGCAAAGTGTGGGGGGGATTCTTGCACAGACCCAAGGCTCCATGCTGAAGATAGTGGGCGGGGTGTGAGACACAGGCTGCCTTCTCAGGGAGGGTTGAGCTCTTTAAATAGCCATAATAGGAGCTAGGAAGGCAGATGTGGGAGGGAACTATACTAGAATGGGGTGTGGCATGTTCAGATGGGTGAGTATCATGAAATGCCCAAAGTATGCACTTGTCCTCCCTAAAAATACTTGGCGCTTTACATGTTCAGATCACTACTACACAATCATTGACTAGCCCTCCCAGGATTGAGGAACCCTCAACATATTCCCTATGAAGTAATTGTAACTTTACAGATATAGAGACTGAGCTTGAGCATCATGTGCAGGATATCACATTGAGACATTGGCAGAGCTGGAATTAGAACTCAGACCTTCCTTAATCCTAACCTTGTAATCACTGCTCCTGATCACTCTGCCTCTTGGTAGTGTATCCACATAGTCATTGTTAATGGCCTGAGTGTTAAGGATGGACCAAATCTATTGAAATTAGACATGGTCATTTTTTCATGTTTTCCCCTTTTCTGATTCCCTGTGGAGCTACAAAGTAATAAAGAACCTTCTGTCTGGAGATTACTGTTTACTTTGTGCAGCTGCTGGGAGGGAGATAGGAATGCTGATATATTGAACCTTCTGCAGAAAGTAAACCCAAACAAAATGCATTTTCCCTTTCCTTTCAGAAAGAAAAACCTAGACTGAAATAAAGGGGCACTTGCAGTTGGGGAAATTCCATCCGATGGGGCTGTATCAAAGGGTTGGTGGGTCTGGTTAATTAGCATGTAGCAGTACTAACACAAATGTCCATAGCATTTTCACCTTTAATGAAAAAGTTGAGTTTCTGTGAAGTTAACAGTTCCACATTGGGGAAGGAGCAACAACATGGATTTTGGGTAGGGGGATGACGACAAAGGGATTTGCTGAAGCAATGGTGTGTTGAGAGTTCTGGGTTAGTTGAGGTAATAGATCACAATAACCATTTGTTCCTGTGTCTACTTCTCATCTGACTGCTTGCTGTTAACTCTCTTTGTGTAGCCTGAAGAAAATTCGTAGTAAAGTCTGGAAGCAGAGAATATCAAGTCCTTTGTTTAACACCAAACAGTACACAATGGAACTGGAGCGGCTTTACCTTCAGATGTGGGATCACTACGCTGCTGGCAACAAACCAGACCATATGGTTAAGCCAATAGAGACCAATGAATCTGCATGAAGGACTCTGCCGACACAACTCTCCCAGAATTGAGCCTCTCAAACTCCTCTGCAAAGGAGATGGGAGCTAAAGACAGTGCATTTCTACTTAATCTGCCTGGTACTCTGTGACTGAAGTGATACATGATGGTGATTTAAGAGCACAGACAGACATACTTTGTGCATAATAGGGAGAGGCTGTAGAGATTGGGAACTTTCTATTCCATAAGGAGTTTGAAAAAGATTGAGTTGTGCACATGTACTGTATGTTTGCAAGGCCTGGTGCTTGATGGGGAAAGTGTGAACTGTCCATCCAATTGTGATTTCATGGATTGATTCAATCTTCCTATGAATTTCTCTCCTCTTATGTGGATTGGGAATTGGAGCTTTTTAATGTTTGATTTCAGGTGTTCCTGTTGGTATATGTGCGATTCTTCCATGACATGATTTCCAACTAGTGAGTGTTGCTCCCTGCATTAACTTCTTAACTGTGCAGATTGAAAGGGCATATTTGCTGGTGTAGTCTTTTTACAGGTTTTATAAACCACTTGAGCCTATATCAGCCTTTTAATGTTTGACCTCTGTTTTGGAACTTTCTGTACTGTGTTGATTTAGATGAGAACTCAGTGCTTGGTTTAAAAAAAAAAAAAAAAAAAAAAAAGATTCTCCTGTATCTCAGCTAATTGGCTTCATGATGACAGCTCCTATTCTGTTGAAAAACAAAATTGGTTTAAAATTAATGCCCCTGAACTGTTTTGAAATAAACAAACTGGTGCCAAATACAAATCCTTCAGGAATGATTGTTAATTATGTACAGAGGCACAGTCCTAGGTACTGTAGCAAGGACTTTTTTAAAAATAAAGCGCTGGTTTGCCCAGTTTGACCCATTTGACCAGCGTTTCGCCTTTACTACCCCTTCTGTGCTGCTGTCAAAACAATGTTCTGGGCTGCTGGCCTTTTACCTTCCTTTCCATAGCTTGGCTTTTAAATAGTTCTATTCATTTCAGCAGAAATGAAATCCCAGGTAAGTATAGATTTTCATCTACTAAACATCTGCATCAAGTATATTAATGTTTATAAAAAAAAAAGTATTCCAACTCTGAAAAGCTCTCAAGTGGGCAGTTATATATATAATTAATTATTGCAGTATTTAAGGACCACCTAGAAAGGCTTTTTTCTTAATGTGGGGGTGTCATTATCTCACTGATATGTGGTAACTTGGAGGCCATGGGCTGTATGTAAACTCTGATGCTGAGTTTTGTATTGAACAAGCATGAATTACCGTAAGTAATTTTGTTCTTAAATCTGTGCAGAGGGTCATGGACTGCAGTTTAAAACTAATCAATGTCAGTCTTGCTAAGTGTGCTACACACATCTATTCAGTAACAGGTAACAATTTGTCTTCTAGTGCAGCAACAGAGAACTGTGTTCAAAGTGCTGCTTTTGATGCACCTTTTATCTGTCTCAGTTGATGCTTTTGAATGTACCCTAGGTGCTGAATGCTTAGTGTAGGATGCCTTAGTTTGCTGGTAGATTCTTACCACCTGCTAATACCTGAACAAGAAATCTTACACGTCATTTTCTAACCAGAAATGACAAGGTGGGCGAGGTAATACCTTTTATTGGACCAACTTCTGGGGGTGAGAGAGAGAAACTTTTGAGGTTAGAGGGTATGTTGACATAGTACTGAAGAACCTGTGGCTAGCCTGTACTAGGGGCTGTTTTGTTGCTGTGTAGATACTCTGGTTCCCCATGAAGAGGAGTGCTATGTAAGCTTATCGCTTTCACTAACAGAAAGTTGCTCCACTAAAAGACAGCCTAAGCCAGTGGTTCCCAAACTGGGGTTCGTGAACCCCTGGGGGTTCATGAAATGTTACAGGGGGTTCTCAAGACAAAATTCCCTAATGGCGGACAGAGCTGTCCCTAGGGACTCTGAGCAGCATAAGGGCCAGCAACCCGGAGCCCCTGGACTTCCAAGAGCTAAGCAGATCAAAGCAAGCATATCTATCACACTGAGGAGATTTAAACTTCAAGACTCCTTATAAGAAATGGAAAGGGAGATGGATTTTTTTTGCTGTTTTTAAAATTAAATAGTCAGCTAGTATTGTTTTTAAAATGATTACGAAGAACAACTTTAAGCTTTGTTGTAAAGTGCGTTGTTTGCCTGGACTGCTCAAGCCCTGAATGCCTGTGTAGGAGGAACTCTGAGTTGGCTTCTTAAATACCTTCATGCTGTTTCACATCTGATACTCCTTGATGAAACATAGGAGCCTTGTCTTATAACAAGCTTATTCAAACTGATACAAGCTACGAAAGTGAGATCTTGGAAGAGTGTTGCCGTTTTCATAATGTAATAAAAATACTGTAATGATCAATAATAATTAATAATAGTGTGTAATAAGCATGTCATAAAAACAACTTTTATCTTTCCAAGATCACTGCTTTTATAATTTATACTCAAGTGAAGGAGAAAATCCCTGGAAATATTCACTTTTAGGAGGGGGGTTCGCGAGATGACATTTTAGTGAAAGATGTTCACGGGTTGTTAAAGTTTGGGAACCACTGGCCTAGGCCAACCATGGCTACACCCCCTGTCCATAACCAGTGTGCACATTTATAAATTTTACTCTTTAAAAGCCCAGCCTTATAGCTTTGGATAATTGAAACTACCTAGTTTAAACCCGTAAAAATGAAAAGATGGTAGCACCTTAAGAATTGCTGCTGCAAGTTACTACCCCTGAAACAAAGCTGAACTAAATCACTCAACTTTCACTGGTGGCGTGCTCTGGATAGGTGAGACTTGCTGGGGGTGCCCGTTGAGCTTTGTTCCTGGCGTGGGACGTTGCTGCTTTCACTGCTGCTTTGCTTATTGTAACAGGCTTTTGTTTCCAGCTAACTGCCTAATAAAAAGACATGACTACAGCTAAAGATCACTACAAACAACGTGTTTTTGTTATAATCTCTGGGGTCAGCGGGAGCGCGTCTCCCCGCGGGAAGATGCGCTGGGCGCGCGCTCAGTGGCTGGGGGAGGGCGGCCACGGTCCCCGGGAGGCGGCGCTGGGGGGCGGTTCCGGCTCCGGGCTGGCGACAGGTTCCTCGCGGGGGCGGGGTCGCAGCAGCTGCGCCCACTGGGCTCATCGGGGTGCGGGCCGCTGCGATTCGAGGTGCAGTTCGGGCTTCCCCTGGCGCATGCGCGCCCAGACCGGCAGGGTTAAGTACCGCCCCGGACGTGGCGCTGCACTGAAGGGGGCGGGCGGGAGGCTTGAACGTAGCAGCGGCGGATTTCACGCGAGGATGGCGCGCGGGCCCAGGCAGCGCGTCCGAGTGAGGGAATTGTGGGAGTGAAGAGCTGTCGAGGAACGGCGCGGGGGAGGCGCGAGCCGGGCCCGGTGGGGGGGAAGCTGGGGAGTCGGAGGGGGAGGGAGCCGGAGACGGGCCCTGCCGGGAAATCGCGGGGGAAGAGCAGGGACGCGGGCGTGAGCCAGGCCCTCCTGAGGGAGTAGTGCGGGCCGGAGCCGGGCCCTGTGCGGGCATGAGAAGCAGCTGGGCTCGCTTTAGGCCTAGGTCATTCTCTGTTGTTTTCCCCTTTCAGCTGGGAGCCCCCAGACCCTTGGTCAGTATCCCTCCGGTTTCCAACCGTGGTCCTGATGGGGCCTCTGTACAGAGACTGCTGCTCTTGTCCTCCGACACCGAGGATGACAGACAAGGCAACACCTGGTTGGGGACAAGGAACCTCCCCCACGGGACTGGACAAAGTAGGTGAATTTGCAGGATTAATGTTTCCCATACCCTGCCAATTTGCGAGGGGCTGATGCAGTTGTGAGGGAAGTGAGGGCAAGAGATTCGGTGTTGGGGTGGGAGGGACTAGTGTGTGTTGGAGAGGAAACTCATGAGTGACAGCTGGAACATGGGAGAGGGCAGCCTGAAAGGTGGGAGAAGATCTGGGATTGATTGTGAGTCCAAACCATTAATGCTGTAGTGTTCGCATTTTGTTGTGTGGATTTATCCTGCAAACACCAGCTCTGTACGCAATAAATGATTCAATTAGAGAGTTGGACTGAGGGAAGATTTTAGAAGCTGTACATGATAACTGTATGTCAGGTAGTGATGTAAATTATGTCTGAAGGAGAAAATCTGAAGGCATGTTTAAAACACATGCATATACACAGTAAAACTTTTTAGGCCTTTTTGTAAAGAAGCAAAATAAAACATACCTACGTTTTATTTGTAGTTTGCCATAGCAGTGTACACATTTTCTAAGTATCAGGGGGTAGCCGTGTTAGTCTGTATCCACAAAAACAACAAGGAGTACAGTGGCACCTTAAAGACTAACAGATTTATTTG